GGCACCACCTCGCCTAGCGGGCCACGTCCCCCCCAGATTGTTTAGACGCAGACAGCAGCGTCCTGACGTGCACAGAATGGCGGGGGGGTGGTGGTGATGGTGGTGGTGGTTGATGGTGGTGGTGCTGGTGGTGATGGTGCTGGTTGATGGTGGTGGTGATGACGGTGGTGGTGATGGTGGTGATGGTGATGATGGTGGTGATGGTGACGGTGGTGGTGATGGTGCCGATGGTGGTGATGGTGCCGATGGTGGTGATGGTGGTGGTGGATGGTGGTGATGGTAATTGATGGTGGTGATGGTGGTGATGGTGATTGATGGTGCTGATGGTGGTGATTGGTGGTGATTGATGGTGGTGGTAATCGATGGTGGTGATGGTGGTGGTAATTGATGGTGGTGATTGATGATGGTGGTGATTGATGATTGATGATGGTGGTGATGGTGATTGATGATGGTGGTGATTGATGGTGGTGATTGATGGTGGTGATTGATGGCGCTAATTGATGGTGATTGATGGTGGTAATTGATGGTGGTAATTGATGGTGGTGATGGATGATGGTGATTGATGGTGCTGATGGTGGTGATTGGTGGTAATTGATGGTGGTAATTGATGGTGGTGATTGATGGTGATTGATGGTGATGGTGGTGATTGATATCCATCTCGCCTGGGGGGGGGGGGGGGCGTGCATGCCGCAGACCGCGTCACGGGGTAACCAATCAGATCGGACTTGGTCTGTGACAAGGGGGGCACTGACAAGGGATTGACAGCTGTGGAGAGTGGAGAGTGGGAGAGAGAGTGGAGAGTGGGTGGGTGAGAGTGGGTGGGTGAGAGTGGGTGGGTGAGAGTGGGTGGGTGAGAGTGGGTGGGTGAGAGTGGGTGGGTGAGGGTGGGTGAGAGTGAGTGGGTGAGAGTGGGTGGGTGAGAGTGGGTGGGAGAGAGTGGGTGAGAGTGAGTGGGTGAGCGTGGGTGGGTGAGAGTGAGTGGGTGAGAGTGGGTGAGAGTGAGTGGGTGAGAGTGGGTGGGTGAGAGTGAGTGGGTGAGTGAGAGTGGGTGAGTGAGAGGGTGAGAGTGAGTGGGTGAGAGTGGGTGGGTGAGAGTGAGTGGGTGAGAGTGGGTGGGTGAGAGTGAGTGGGTGAGAGTGGGTGGGTGAGAGTGGGTGAGAGTGAGTGGGTGAGAGTGGGTGGGTGAGAGTGAGTGGGTGAGTGAGAGTGGGTGAGTGAGAGGGTGAGAGTGAGTGGGTGGGTGAGAGAGTGGGTGAGTGAGTGGGTGAGAGTGGGTGGGTGAGAGTGAGTGGGTGGGTGAGAATGGGTGGGTGAGAGAGTGGGTGGGTGAGAGAGTGGGTGAGTGAGAGGGTGAGAGTGAGTGAGTGGGAGTGAGTGGGTGAGAGTGAGTGAGTGGGAGTGAGTGGGTGAGAGTGGGTGGGTGAGAGTGAGTGGGTGGGTGAGAGTGAGTGGGAGAGAGTGGGTGGGTGAGAGTGAGTGGGTGAGAGTGGGTGGGTGAGAGTGGGTGGGTGGGTGAGAGTGGGTGGGAGAGAGTGGGTGAGTGAGAGGGTGAGAGTGAGTGGGTGAGAGTGAGTGGGTGAGAGTGGGTGGGTGAGAGTGGGTGGGTGAGAGTGGGTGGGAGTGAGTGGGTGGGTGAGAGAGTGGGTGAGTGAGTGGGTGAGAGTGAGAGAGTGAGAGTGTGTGGGTGAGAGAGTGGGTGGGTGAGAGAGTGGGTGAGTGAGAGGGTGAGAGTGAGTGAGTGGGTGAGAGTGAGTGAGTGGGTGAGAGTGGGTGGGTGAGAGTGAGTGGGTGAGAGTGAGTGGGTGAGAGTGAGTGGGTGGGAGTGAGTGGGTGAGAGTGGGTGGGTGAGAGTGAGTGGGTGGGTGAGAGTGAGTGGGAGAGAGTGGGTGGGTGAGAGTGAGTGGGTGAGAGTGGGTGGGTGAGAGTGGGTGGGTGGGTGAGAGTGGGTGTGAGAGAGTGGGTGAGTGAGAGGGTGAGAGTGAGTGGGTGAGAGTGAGTGGGTGAGAGTGGGTGGGTGAGAGTGGGTGGGTGAGAGTGGGTGGGAGTGAGTGGGTGGGTGAGAGAGTGGGTGAGTGAGTGGGTGAGAGTGAGAGAGTGAGAGTGGGTGGGTGAGAGAGTGGGTGGGTGAGAGAGTGGGTGAGTGAGAGGGTGAGAGTGAGTGAGTGGGTGAGAGTGAGTGAGTGGGTGAGAGTGGGTGGGTGAGAGTGAGTGGGTGAGAGTGAGTGGGTGAGAGTGAGTGGGTGGGTGAGAGGGTGAGAGTTGAGTGAGTGGGTGAGAGTGAGTGGGAGAGTGGTTGGAGAGTGGAGAATGAGTGAGAGTGAGTGGGTGGGTGAGAGTGAGAGAGAGTGGGTGAGAGTGAGTGGGTGAGAGTGAGTGGGTGGGTGAGAGTGAGTGGGAGAGTGGTTGGAGAGTGGAGAATGAGTGAGAGTGAGTGGGTGGGTGAGAGTGAGAGAGAGTGGGTGAGAGTGAGTGAGTGGGTGAGAGTGAGTGGGTGAGAGTGAGTGGGTGGGTGAGAGTGAATGGGTGGGTGAGAGAGAGTGAGTGAGAGTGGGTGGATGAGAGTGAGTGGGTGGGTGAGAGTGAGTGGGTGAGAGTGAGTGGGTGAGAGTGGAGAGTGAGAGACTGGAGAGTGAGTGGGTGAGAGTGAGTGGGTGAGAGTGAGTGAGTGAGTGGAGAGTGAGTGAGTGGGTGGGTGAGAGTGAGTGGGTGAGAGTGAGAGAGTGGAGAGTGTGAGAGAGAGACGGATAGAGCTGTCAACCCCTACGGTTTACTCCCTCGTCTTGTGCAGGGGAACTGGAGTCTACAGATCTACAGCGGACCCGTCAAGAGATGTGACCACCACCACCACCACCACGCTCAGTTTGGCGGTCGAAAAACAACCATTTTTTTATCTTAAACCGTTATCGTTGTGTTTATATATTGATAGAAAACAATCATCCGAAAAGAATCTGCCACCTCTCCCCCACACAGACAGACACAGACAGAGACACAGAAACAGAGAGACAGACAGAGAGACAGAGACACAGACAGAAACAGAGAGACACAGACACACACAGACACACAGACAGACACAGAGACAGAGAGAGACACAGACACACAGACAGGCACACAGACAGAGACACAGACACACACAGAGAGACACAGAGAGACACAGACAGAGAGACAGAGAGAGACGCACACAGACAGAGACACAGACAGACAGAGACACAGACACACAGAGAGACAGAGAGACACAGACAGAGACACAGACACACAGAGAGACAGAGACACAGACAGAGAGACAGAGAGAGACACACACACAGAGACACAGACACACAGAGACACAGAGAGACAGAGAGAGACAGACACAGAGAGACAGAGAGAGACAGACACACACAAATAGAGACAGACACAGACAGAGACACAGACACACAGACAGAGACACAGACAGGGAGACAGACACACACACAGATAGAGACACAGACAGGGAGACAGACACACACACAGATAGAGACACAGAGACACACACAGACAGGGAGACAGACAGAGAGACAAACCAAACCCCAACCCACCACCCAGCCACCCTCGGCAGGGTAGAATTATTATTATCATCATCACACGAAGCTCTAAAAAAATTGATACGTCCACGCATTACAAAATTATTAGTGTCCGGTGCGCACACGATCGAGACAGAGAGACAGAGAGACACAGACAGAGCGGAGACAGCGAGAGAGAGACAGCGCGAGCGACTAAGCCACTAAAACCCGCAGCAACTAACTCGGCGTGCCCACCACCACCACGAACCCAGCAAAATCCACGACCCACCAAAACCCCCCCACACGTTCAGCACCGAATGGTTCTCTCCGTGCCCACCCCCACCTCGTATGGTCCCGCGATTAGTACGGCCCTAACCCCTCCCCCCCCCGTGTATTTGTGGCGAGTGGTACAGCCCACACACAGATAGCACGAAACTCCCCCAACCACCACCACACACACCCACGGTTCGTGTGGTTATTGGTACAGCCCAGATATGGATATCAAACCACCCCCCCCCCCCACGATTGTGTGGCTGGTGGTACAGTCCAAACACGTGGATTTCACGAACACTCCTACCCCCCCCCCCGTGGTTATGTGGCTAGTGGTACAGCCCAATGATATCAATACCACTCCCTCCCCCCCCCGTGGTTGTGGCTATTGGTACAGCCCACACGCAGTGATATCAAAACAAAACCTACCCCCTACTACCCCCTGTGGTTGTGGCTAGTGGTGCATTCCACACACGTATATCACTAACACCCCCCTCACCACAGTTTGTGTGGTCATTGGTACAGCCCATAACGGGATATCACTGCCACCCCTACTACCACGTGTGTGTCTATCAGTGCGTGTCTAGCAGTACGTGTCTATCAGTGCGTGTCTATCAGTGTCTATCAGTGTGTGTCTATCAGTGCGTGTCTAGCAGTGTGTGTCTATCAGTGTGTGTCTATCAGTGTGTGTCTATCAGTGCGTGTCTAGCAGTGTGTGTCTATCAGTGTGTGTCTATCAGTGTGTGTCTATCAGTGCGTGTCTATCAGTGCGTGTCTATCAGTGCGTGTCTATCAGTGTGTGTCTATCAGTGCGTGTCTATCAGTGCGTGTCTATCAGTGTGTGTCTATCAGTGCGTGTCTATCAGTGTGTGTCTATCAGTGCGTGTCTATCAGTGTGTGTCTATCAGTGCGTGTCTATCAGTGTGTGTCTATCAGTGCGTGTCTATCAGTGTGTGTCTATCAGTGTGTGTATACAATCAGACGTGTAGACACAAACGGAGCCCCCACCACCACCACCGCCTGTGACGTCCGCGGGATGAACGGCGAACACGTGACCACACGTAGCTCGATGAGCCGAAGGGATTTCCCCTCTCCTCTCTCCCGTCCCCTCCCTGTCCCTCCCTGTCCCTCCCTGTCCCCTCACTACCCCTCACTACCCCTCACTACCCCTCACTGTCCCCCCATGTCCCTCCCTGTCCCCTCACTACCCCTCACTACCCCTTCCTGTCCCCCCATGTCCCCCATGTCCCCTTCCTCTCCTCCTCCTCCTCCTCTCGATCCGCTCCGGGCTGCACTCCACCCCGGCGTTCTCCTCCCACCGAGGCCACTCCTCAGTATTTGCGGCCTGTGGTGGTGGTGGTGGGAGACAAAGACAAAGATCCCCCGTGTAGCCTTGACAGACTGCAGGGGCAAGTGCTGAGAGCAAGCGGCGCCTGTGAAGGCGAGCGGCACCACGGGACACACAGAGGGGGTGGGTGGCCAGCACCACCACGCCCGGCCGCCTTTGTCTCTCCCCAGCGCCAGCGATGATCACTGCGCTACACCGGCGACTCTTTTGCGGCCGAGTGGACCTAGGGGAGGCCCAGGACCGGTTCAGAGAATCGCTGTCACTGTGGTTGGCCGCGAGCTGGAATTGAACTTGGGTGGCCGGGTTCATAGCGCAGCGTAGCACTCACCACTACACTACTGCTCACACACTCACATACACACTCACACACACACTCACACACACTCACAAACACACACTCACATACACACTCACACACATACACACACTCACATACACACTCACACACACTCACACACTCACATACACACTCACACACATACACACACTCACATACACACACTCACATACGCACTCACCACTACACTACTGCTCACACACTCACACACTCGCCACTACACTACTGCTCACACACTCACATACACACTCACACACATACACACACTCACATACACACTCACACACTCACCACTACACTACTGCTCACACACTCACATACACACTCACACACTCACCACTACACTACTGCTCACACACTCACATACACACTCACACACACACTCACACACACTCACACACACACTCACAAACACACACTCACACAGACACACACTCACACACATACACACACACACATACGCACACACACATACGCACACACACACTCACACACACACACACTTACACACACACACGCACACACTCAGACACACACGCACACACACATACACTCACACTCACGCTCACGCACACACATACACATGCTCACACACTGACATACACACACACACACAGACACACACACGCACACTCACACACGTACACACACATATACACACACGCACACTCACACACGTACACACACACACTCACATACACTCACACATACACGCACACGCACACACACACACACATATACACACACACACATACACACGCACACACACACAGACACACGCACGCACACACACGCGCACACTCACAGACACATACACACACAGACACAAACAGACGCACACACGCACACACAGTTGGTGGGTGACGAGTCACTGTGATTGTGAAGGGGGAGGCGTTTCCTCGTTTGAAGCTGCTGCTGCTGCAGTGAATGCAACACTCTGGTCGAGTCTCAGATGCCGAGACGTTAACTCCCTCGCCTGGCACGCAGGAGGTCTGTGTCTCTCATCATCACCACGGTGGCTATGAGATGTTAACTACCTCGCCTGGTCTACAGGAGGTCTGTGTCTCTCATCATCACCACGGTGACTATGAGATGTTAGCTACCTCGCCTGGTCTACAGGAGGTCTGTGTCTCTCTCTCATCATCATCATCATCACAGTGACTATGAGATGTTAACTACCTCGCCTGGTCTACAGGAGGTCTGTGTCTCTCTCTCTCATCATCACCACGGTGGCTATGAGATGTTAACTACCTCGCCTGGTCTACAGGAGGTCTGTGTCTCTCATCATCACGGTGACTATGAGATGTTAACTACCTCGCCTGGTATACAGGAGGTCTGTGTCTCTCATCATCACCACGGTGACTATGAGATGTTAACTACCTCGCCTGGTCTACAGGAGGTCTGTGTCTCTCTCATCATCATCACCACGGTGACTGAGATGTTAACTCCCTCGCCTGGTACACAGGAGGTCTGTGTCTCTCATCATCATCATCACCACGGTGACTGAGATGTTAACTCCCTCGCCTGGCACGCAGGAGGGCGTGGGTTCGATCCCGGACCATGGCGATGTCTATGTGGAGTCTGCTTCTCTCTCTAACATCATCATCACGGTGACTATGAGATGTTAACTACCTCGCCCGGTACACAGAAGGTCTGTGTCTCTCTCTCATCATCATCATCATCACAGTGACTATGAGATGTTAACTACCTCGCCTGGTCTACAGGAGGTCTGTGTCTCTCATCATCACCACGGTGACTATGAGATGTTAGCTACCTCGCCTGGTCTACAGGAGGTCTGTGTCTCTCTCTCATCATCATCATCATCATCACAGTGACTATGAGATGTTAACTACCTCGCCTGGTCTACAGGAGGTCTGTGTCTCTCTCTCTCATCATCACCACGGTGGCTATGAGATGTTAACTACCTCGCCTGGTCTACAGGAGGTCTGTGTCTCTCATCATCACGGTGACTATGAGATGTTAACTACCTCGCCTGGTATACAGGAGGTCTGTGTCTCTCATCATCACCACGGTGACTATGAGATGTTAACTACCTCGCCTGGTCTACAGGAGGTCTGTGTCTCTCTCATCATCATCACCACGGTGACTGAGATGTTAACTCCCTCGCCTGGTACACAGGAGGTCTGTGTCTCTCATCATCATCATCACCACGGTGACTGAGATGTTAACTCCCTCGCCTGGCACGCAGGAGGGCGTGGGTTCGATCCCGGACCATGGCGATGTCTATGTGGAGTCTGCTTCTCTCTCTAACATCATCATCACGGTGACTATGAGATGTTAACTACCTCGCCCGGTACACAGAAGGTCTGTGTCTCTCTCTCATCATCATCATCATCACAGTGACTATGAGATGTTAACTACCTCGCCTGGTCTACAGGAGGTCTGTGTCTCTCATCATCACCACGGTGACTATGAGATGTTAGCTACCTCGCCTGGTCTACAGGAGGTCTGTGTCTCTCTCTCATCATCATCATCATCACAGTGACTATGAGATGTTAACTACCTCGCCTGGTCTACAGGAGGTCTGTGTCTCTCTCTCTCATCATCACCACGGTGGCTATGAGATGTTAACTACCTCGCCTGGTCTACAGGAGGTCTGTGTCTCTCATCATCACGGTGACTATGAGATGTTAACTACCTCGCCTGGTATACAGGAGGTCTGTGTCTCTCATCATCACCACGGTGACTATGAGATGTTAACTACCTCGCCTGGTCTACAGGAGGTCTGTGTCTCTCTCATCATCATCACCACGGTGACTGAGATGTTAACTCCCTCGCCTGGTACACAGGAGGTCTGTGTCTCTCATCATCATCATCACCACGGTGACTGAGATGTTAACTCCCTCGCCTGGCACGCAGGAGGGCGTGGGTTCGATCCCGGACCATGGCGATGTCTATGTGGAGTCTGCTTCTCTCTCTAACATCATCATCACGGTGACTATGAGATGTTAACTACCTCGCCCGGTACACAGAAGGTCTGTGTCTCTCAACATCATCATCGTCATCACAGTGACTATGAGATGTTAACTACCTCGCCTGGTATACAGGAGGTCTGTGTCTCTCAACATCATCATCACAGTGACTATGAGATGTCAACTACCTCGCCTGGTCTACAGGAGGTCTGTGTCTCTCTCTCATCATCACCACAGTGACTATGAGATGTTAACTACCTCGCCTGGTACACAGGAGGTCTGTGTCTCTCTCTCATCATCACCACGGTGGCTATGAGATGTTAACTACCTCGCCTGGTCTACAGGAGGTCTGTGTCTCTCTCTCTCATCATCATCACGGTGACCGAGATGTTAACTACCTCGCCTGGTATACAGGAGGTCTGTGTCTCTCTCATCATCATCATCATCACGGTGACTATGAGATGTTAACTACCTCGCCTGGTATACAGGAGGTCTGTGTCTCTCATCATCATCACCACGGTGGCTATGAGATGTTGACTACCTTGTTATGGTCATGATTGAGCATGTGATAGTGGTGAAAATTGTGGCAGTGGTGTTGGTGGTGGCGGTGGTTGTTGTGGTAGTGGTGGTAGTTGTGGTAGTGGTGGTTGTGGTTGTGGTGGTTGTTGTGGTAGTTGTGATGGTTGTGGTAGTGGTGGTGGTAGTTGTGGTAGTTGTGGTGGTTGTGGTGGTAGTTGTGGTAGTTGTGGTAGTGGTTGTTATGGTTGTTGTGGTGGTTGTGGTGGTTGTGGTGGTTGTAGTGGTGGTGGTTGTGGTGGTGGTAGTGGTAGTTGTGGTGGTGGTTGTGGTGGTGGTTGTTGTGGTGGTTGTAGTGGTGGTTGTAGTGGTGGTTGTAGTGGTGGTGGTAGTGGTAGTTGTGGTGGTTGTGGTGGTTGTGGTGGTAGTTGTGGTAGTGGTTGTTGTGGTGGTTGTGGTGGTTGTGGCGACTCACCAGGGGCTAAGTCCTCCAGGGGGATCTCCTCCAGCTGCTCTCTGCTGCCACGTGGTTGCCCGTCAGCTACACAAAGACAAAGGTGCCCCAGGTAACCTTAACAAACTGTAGGGGGCAAGTGCTGTTAGTAGCGAGTAGCACCGCCAACAACAACAACCACCGCCATTCCCACTAAGTGGCGGTGACGTCACCACGGCACCTGTGCCAGGCTAGGTGCACGAGGAGGTCACAGCACAGACCCAGCAGGTGCCATGGGCTGACTGCTGTGCCAGGCTAGGTGCACGAGGTCACGGGACAGACCCAGCAGGTGCCATGGGCTGACTGCTGTGCCAGGCTAGGTGCAGGTCACGGGACAGACCCAGCAGGTGCCATGGGCTGCCTGCTGTGCCAGGCTAGGTGCACGAGGTCATGGGACAGACCCAGCAGGTGCCATGGGCTGACTGCTGTGCCAGGCTAGGTGCACGAGGTCACAGGACAGACCCAGCAGGTGCCGTGGGCTGACTGCTGTGCCAGGCTAGGTGCACGAAGAGGAAGTCACGGGACAGACCCTGCAGGTGCCATGGGTTGACTGCTGTGCCAGGCTAGGTGCATGACTGGTAGATGCGTTTTATCCGCCCGGCGCTCCGCTCGTTGTTGTGAGCGTCACTCCACAATAATACAATTACTATATTATGTAATAATTATTACATTACATAATGATTACAATAATTACAGTTAGTATAAGCATATTAAAATAATGTTAATACTTAGTTATACCATTACTGTAATCATAATTATTATACTGCAACAATTATTTTTTATTTAATTATATTATGATTATTACATAATATACCAGAATCCATAAATGATTTATGAATTAACATATTATGATTATTTATGAATTTAATACAATTACAATAATTATAATTCGTATACTATAATACAATAATTGTCATAATTGCAATAATCACAGTTAATAAACTCATAATCACATATTATAATAATTATATTATAATACAATGACAATCATATAATAATTATATTATAATAAACGCCAATAATTATAATATAATTATTACAAAACAATGCCAATCATTAGAATATAATTATTATATTCATAATTAGTCTTATGCAATGATTATCATTGTATTATAAAATAATTATTATAATACAATAACAATGGCAGTCATTAGAATATAATTATATTATAAGATATTAATTATTATAATTGATTAATGTTCTATGCTATATTACTTCTTATAATACAAATATATTACTATAACATAATACTAACTCTTCTAATTTAATATAATTACATTACAATATAATTCGATTATATTATGATAATTCCGCGTACGGTAAAACCTTGGGATTGTGAGTGACTTGGCCTGCGAATGTTTTGCAAGAAGAAAATATTTTTTTTGTTTAAATAATAAACATTAACTTGATAAACGAGTGAAGTCTTGGAATACGAGCAGCAGGTGGACTCTTTGCCCTGCCAAGCGACACGTCATCACGATTGATGTACCCGTTCTTTGCATTACAAACACACCCATGCTCGCAATCAAAAGGTTTCACCCTAACACGTTAATTATAATGACGTCCTTGATTTTTAAGCTTTCGTGACTGCAGGAATTCACTCGTTGCTAAGGCAACGTCAACAAAATCAACAGCAGCAGCAGCAGCAGAGATCACGGCGGTCTTCAATGATCGCGTCACAATATCATGGCCGATCAGAGATTCTTCACCGTTTTTTCCGGGCAACTAAACCGAAAACCTCCGGCCACGAGACACCAAGTCTCCATCAGCCGCAACAACGCTTGTGGGTTCTCAATGCAAACTCTGATCCTCTCCGGATGCATTGTCCTTGAAGCCGATTTGGGTCCACACCCAGGGGAGGCTTTATCCTGAGCCTCCCCGGTCTCGTGTCAGGGCGCAGAGGACGCCAAGAGGCGCTGCGAAATCGACACCAAAATCAATCGCCGCATCGATACCCATCAATGGCGCGAGAGGCGTTGCCGTGCCGGCCACAACTCACACTTCTTAGCGGTCCCCATGAGTGGCAGGGTGGTGTCGTCATGGTTACCGGCCTTGCCCCGCCCCACGGTACCCACGCTGCTCCCGGCGTTGCCCTGGAAACGGGAGGGGGAGGAGTTAGGGGGTCGCCCCTCCCCCCCACCACCACCACCACCGCAAGACTGCCGGAGTGGAGCACCACCCACCCCATGCTGCTGCTGTTACCACTAACCCACTACAATACTAATATACTAATTTACTACTATACTAATACAATACTAATATACTACTATACTAATACACTACTATACTAATACACTACTATACTAATACACCACTAACCCACTACAATACTAATATACTACTATATACACTACTAATATACTACTATACTAATACACTACTATACTAATACACTACTATACTAATACACCACTAACCCACTACAATACTAATATACTAATTTACTACTATACTAATACAATACTAATATACTACTAATATACTACTACTAATATACTACTACACTACTATATATACTACTATACTAATATACTACTATACTACTATACTAATACACCACTAACCCACTACAATACTAATATACTACTAATATACTACTATACTACTATATACACTATACTACTAATATACTACTACTAATATACTAATATACTACTACACTACTATATATACTACTATACTAATATACTACTATACTACTATACTAATACAATACTAATATACTACTAATATACTACTATATACACTACTAATATACTACTATACTAATACACTACTATATACACTACTAATATACTACTATACTAATACACTATATATACTAATATACTACTAATATACTACTATATACACTACTACAATACTAATATACTAATACACTACTATATACACTACTAATACACTACTATACTAATACACTACTATATACACTACTAACCCACTACAATACTAATATACTAATACACTACTATACTACTATATACACTATACTACTAATATACTACTACTAATATACTAATATACTACTACACTACTATATATACTACTATACTAATACACTACTATACTAATACACCACTAACCCACTACAATACTAATATACTACTAATATACTACTAATATACTACTATATACACTACTATATACTAAAATACTAATATACTACTAATATACTACTATATACACTACTAATATACTACTATACTAATACACTACTATACTAATACACTACTATACTAATACACTACTATACTAATACACCACTAACCCACTACAATACTAATATACTACTAATATACTACTATACTACTATATACTACACTACTATATACACTTCTAATATACTACTATACTACTAATATACTACTACTATACTAATACACTACTATATACACTACTAATATACTACTATACTACTATACTAATATACTACTATATACACTACTAATATACTACTATACTAATATACTACTACTAATATACTACTATATACTATATATACTACTACTAATATACTACTATACTAATACACTACTATATACTACACTATACTACTACTAATATACTACTATATACTAATACACTACTATATACACTACTAATATACTACTATATACTACAATACTAATATACTACTAATATACTACTATACTAATACTAATACACTACTATATACTACAATACTATATACACTACTAATATACTACTATACTAATACACTACTATATACACTACTAATATACTACTATACTAATACACTATATATACTAATATACTAATACACTACTATATACTACAATACTAATATACTACTAATTTACTACTATACTAATACACTACTATATACACTACTAATATACTACTACTAATATACTAATACACTACTATATACTACAATACTAATATACTACTATACTAATACACTACTATATACACTACTAATATACTACTATACTAATATACTACTATACTAATATACTACTATACTAATACACTACTATAAACACTACTATATACACTACTAATATATATACTACTATATACTACTACTAATATACTACTATATACACTACTAAAATACTACTATACTACTACTACACTACTATATACACTACTAATATACTACTACTAATATACTACACTACTATATATACTACTATACTAATATACTACTATACTAATACACTACTATATACACTACTAATATACTACTATACTACTAATATACTACTATATACTAATACACTACTATATACACTACTAATATACTACTAATATACTACTATACTACTAATATACTACTATATACTAATACACTACTATATACACTTCTAATATACTACTATACTACTACTAATATACTACTATATACTAATACACTACTATATACACTTTTAATATACTACTAATATACTACTACACTACTATATATACTACTATACTAATATACTACTATACTAATACACTACTATATACACTACTAATATACTACTATACTACTACTAATACACTACTATATACACTTCTAATATACTACTATACTACTAATATACTACTACTATACTAATACACTACTATATACACTACTAATATACTACTATACTAATATACTACTACTAATATACTACTATATACTACTACTAATATACTACTATACTAATACACTACTATATACACTACTAATATACTACTACTAATATACTACTACACTACTATATATACTACTATACTAATATACTACTATACTACTATATATACTACTATACTAATATACTACTATACTAATACACTACTATATACACTACTAATATACTACTAATATACTACTATACTACTAATATACTACTATATACTAATACACTACTAATATACTACTAATATACTACTATACTACTAATATACTACTATATACTAATACACTACTATATACACTTCTAATATACTACTATACTACTACTAATATACTACTATATACTAATACACTACTATATACACTTCTAATATACTACTACTAATATACTACTACACTACTATATACACTTCTAATATACTACTACTAATATACTACTACACTACTATATATACTACTATACTAATATACTACTATACTACTATACTAATACACTACTATATACACTACTAATATACTACTATACTACTACTAATACACTACTATATACACTACTAATATACTACTATACTACTACTAATACACTACTATATACACTTCTAATATACTACTATACTACTAATATACTACTACTATACTAATACACTACTATATACACTACTAATATACTACTATACTAATATACTACTACTAATATACTACTATATACTATATACTACTACTAATATACTACTATACTAATACACTACTATATACACTACTAATATACTACTACTAATATACTACTACTAATACACTACTATATACTACTACTAATATAATACTACTAATACACTACTATATACTGCACTATACTACTAATATACTACTACTAATATATACTACTAATATACTACTACACTACTATATACACTACTATATATACTACTACTAATATACTACTATACTAATACACTACTATATACACTACTAATATACTACTATACTACTACTAATATACTACTATACTACTACTAATATACTACTACTACACTACTAATATACTACTACACTACTATATATACTACTATACTAATATACTACTAATATATAAATACTACTAATATACTACTATACTACTTATATACTAATACACTACTATATATACTACTATACTAATATACTACTAATATATAAATACTACCAATATACTACTATACTACTAATATACTACTACTATATATACTACAATACTAATATACTACTAATATACTACTAATACACTACTATATACTACACTATACTACTACTAATATACTACTACACTACTATATATACTACTATACTAATATACTACTACTAATATACTACTATATACACTACTAATATACTACTAATATACTACTATACTACTAATATACTACTATATACTAATACACTACTATATACACTACTAATATACTACTAATATACTACTATACTACTAATATACTACTATATACTAATACACTACTATATACACTTCTAATATACTACTACTAATATACTACTATACTAATACACTACTATATACACTACTAATATACTACTATACTACTACTAATACACTACTATATACACTTCTAATATACTACTATACTACTAATATACTACTACTATACTAATACACTACTATATACACTACTAATATACTACTATACTACTATACTAATATACTACTATATACTACTACTAATATACTACTATACTAATACACTACTATATACACTACTAATATACTACTACTAATATACTACTACTAATACACTACTATATACTACTACTAATATACTACTACTAATACACTACTATATACTGCACTATACTACTAATATACTACTACTAATATATACTACTAATATACTACTACACTACTATATACACTACTATATATACTACTACTAATATACTACTATACTAATACACTACTATATACACTACTAATATACTACTATACTACTACTAATATACTACTACTACACTACTAATATACTACTACAATACTATATATACTACTAATATACTACTATACTACTAATATACTACTACACTACTATATATACTACTATACTAATATACTACTAATATATAAATACTACTAATATACTACTATACTACTTATATACTAATACACTACTATATATACTACTATACTAATATACTACTAATATATAAATACTACCAATATACTACTATACTACTAATATACTACTATATATACTACAATACTAATATACTACTAATATACTACTAATACACTACTATATACTACACTATACTACTACTAATATACTACTACACTACTATATATACTACTATACTAATATACTACTACTAATATACTACTATATACACTACTGCTATATATACTACTATATACTACTACTAATATACTACTATACTACTACACTACTAATATACTACTACTAATACACTATATACTAATATACTAATACACTACTATATATACTACTATACTAATATACTACTAATATACTACAATACTAATACACTACTAATATACTACTATACTAATACACTACTATATATAATACTATACTAATATACTACTACATACTATACTACTACTAATATACTACTATACTAATATACTACTACTAATATACTACTATGCTAATACAATACTAATATACTAACAAATATACTACACTACCACTGTACTACTACCAATACACTACTACTAATATACTACTATACTAATACACCACTAACCCACTACAATACTAACATACTACTAATACACTACTAATATACTACTATACACACTACTAATATACCACTAATATACTACTAATACACTACTAATATACTACTATACTAATACACCACTAATATACTACTATACTAATATACTACTAATACACTACTACTAATATACTACTATATACACTACTAATATACTACTAATACACTACTAATATACTACTAATATACTACTATACTAATATACTGCTATACTAATATACTAATACAGTACTATATATACTACTATACTAATATACTACTATACTAATATACTACTAATACACAACCAATATACTACTAATATACTACACTACTACTAATATACCACACTACTACTAATATACTACTAATATACTACGCTACTATATATACTACTATCCTACTACTACACTACTAATATACTACAAATATACTAATATACTACAAATATACTACTACTAATATACTACTATACTAACACAATACTAATATACCACTACTAATATACTACTAATATACTACTACTAATATACAACTACAACACTACTAATATACTACTACTAATATACTACACTACTACTGTACTACTACACGACTTATATACCACTAATATACTACTAATATACTACTAATATGCTACTACTAATACACTACTATATATACTACTAATATACTACATTACTAATATACTACTAATACACTACTACTACACTACTAATATACTACTACACTACTAATATACTACTACTACACTCCTAATATACTAGTACTATACTACACTACTACTAATATACTACTATATACTACACTATACTACTACTATAGTACTACTATACTACTACTACCACACTACTAATATACTACACTACTAATATACTAATACACTACTACTAATTAACTACTAATATACTACACTACTATATATACAACTATACTACTACTACACTACTACTACACTACTAATATACTACAAATATACTACACTACTACTATATATACTACTAATATACTACTACACTACTATATATACTACTAATATACCACTACTACACTACTAATATACTACTACACTACTACTACACTACTAATATACTACTACTACACTACTACAACACCACTACACTACTATACTACTAATATACTACTACACTACCAATATACTACTACACTACTACTATACTACTAATATACTACTACACTACTAATATACTACTAATAAACTACTACCACACTACTAATATACTACTACACTACTACTACACTACTAATATACTACTACACTACTAATATACTACTACACTACTACTACACTACTAATATACTACTACACTACTAATATACTACTACACTACTATATATACTAATATACAACACTACTAATACACTACTAATATACTACTACTAATATACTATTAATATACTACACTATATATACTACTAATATACACTACTAATATACCACTAATACACTACTAATATACTACTATTCTAATACACCACTAATATACTACTATACTAATATACTACTAATACACTACTACTAATATACTACTATATACACTACTAATATACTACTATACTAATACACTACTATATATACTACTATACTAATATACTACTAATATACTACTATACTAATATACTACTATACTAATACAGTACTATATATACTACTATACTAATATACTAATATACTACTAATACACTACCAATATACTACTAATATACTACACTACTACTAATATACCACACTACTACTAATATACTACGCTACTATATATACTACTATCCTACTACTACACTACTAATATACCACAAATATACTAATATACTACAAATATACTACTATACTAACACAATACTAATATACTACTACTAATATACTACTAATATACTACACTACTACTAATATACTACTACTAATATACTACTACTAATATACTACACTACTACTGTACTACTACACTACACGACTTATATACCACTAATATACTACTAATAGACTACACTACTAATATACTACTAATATGCTACTACTAATACACTACTATATATATACTACTAATATACTACACTACTAATATACTACTAATACACTACTACTACACTACTAATATACTACTACACTCCTAATATACTAGTACTATACTACACTACTACTAATATACTACTATATACTACTATAGTACTACTATACTACTACTACACTACTAATATACTACAAATATACTACACTACTACTAATATACTACTACACTACTATATATACTACTAATATACCACTACTACACTACTACTACACTACTAATATACTACTAATACACTACTACTACACCACTACACTACTATACTACTAATATACTACTACACTACTACTATACTACCAATATACTACTACACTACTACTATACTACTAATATACTACTACACTACTAATATACTACTACTACACTACTAATAAACTACTACTACACTACTAATATACTACTACACTACTAATATACTACTACACTTCATAATAAAGGTTTTTGGGTTAGATCGCGTTTATTTATAAATGTGTCGTAACCCTCCACCACCCGACACGGCCAATCAGCAAAGAAAAGTGTCACGTTGACAAAAGACAAATAATTCACTACTTCAGCCCACCGGTGTGTTGAAGAGTTAATCCACATTTACAGTTTGAGTACGACGTTTCGCTGGTAAATACTTCCAGCATCATCGGGCAATTCGCCAGAATGGCGTGTTGAAGAGTTAATCCACATTTACAGTTTGAGTACGACGTTTCGCTGGTAAATACTTCCAGCATCATCGGGCAATTCGCCAGAATGGCGTGAATTATTTGTCTTTTGTCAACGTGACACTTTTCTTTGCTGATTGGCCGTGTCGGGTGGTGGAGGGTTACGACACATTTATAAATAAACGCGATCTAACCCAAAAACCTTTATTATGAATAATATTGGTCGCGAAAGCCTACGTGTTAAACATACTACTACACTACTACTACACTACTAATATACTACTACACTACTAATATACTACTACTACACTACTAATATACTACTATACTACACTACTATATATACTACTAATATACAACACTACTAATACACTACTAACTACTAATACACTACAACTACCACTCCTCCTGCTACCACACCTACCACAACTACCACTCCTCCTGCTACCACAACTACCACACCTACCACAACTACCACTACTACCACAACTACCACTCCTCCTGCTACCACTACTACCACACCTACCACTCCTACCACTCCTGCAACCACAACTACCACACCTACCACTCCTCCTGCTACAACACCTACCACAACTACCACTCCTGCTACCACAACTACCACACCTACCACTCCTACCACTCCTCCTGCTACCACAACTACCACTACTACCAATACTACCACAACTACCACTCCTACCACAACTACCACTCCTCCTGTTGGTGGCTGTGGTGGTGGCCGTGGTGGTGGTGGCCGTGGTGGTGGTGGCCGTGGTGTTGGCCGTGGTGGTGGTCGTGGTGGTGGTGGTCGTGGTGGTGGCCGTGGTGGTGGTCGTGGTGGTGGTGGTCGTGGTGGTGGTGGTCGTGGTGGTGGCCGTGGTGGTGGTGGTGGTGTTGGCATGCCTGGAAGTGCATCTTGGTCCAGCCGTCTTTCTTGTAGCGGCTGTGCATCTCACGGTGAGACCACAGCGCTGTGAGCAGGGCAGACGCAGCACGCAGCTCACGACTCGTAGACGTCCTGAAACACACACACAGATACACACACAGACACACACACAGACACACACACAGAGACAGACACACACACAGACACACACAGACACACACACATCTCACGGTGAGACCACAGCGCTGTGAGCAGGGCAGACGCAGCACGCAGCTCACGACTCGTAGACGTCCTGAAACACAGACAGACACACACAGACACACACAGACAGACACACACACACACAGACACACACACACAGACACACACAGACACACACAGACACACACAGACACACACACATCTCACGGTGAGACCACAGCGCTGTCGCAGCACGCAGCTCACGACTCGTAGACGTCCTGAAACACACAGACAGACACACACACACACAGACACAGACACACACACACACAGAGCACACACACAGACACACACACAGTGACACACAGACACACACAGACACACACAGACACACACAGACACACACAACAACAACAACAACCGCCATTCGCCACTAAGTGGCGGTAACGTCACCACGACGCTTGTGCCAGGCTATGTGCACACTGAGGCCACGTGAAGTGTCGAACGCCCGCTGGCAGGAGGTCACGGGCAGACCCAGGTGCCACGGGTCGACTGACTGAGATGACTGAGATGACTGGCTGATGCACCACCTGTGCCCCCTACTGTGCCAACCTGCTGTGCTTTAGCCACCCGGCGCTCCGCTCGTTGTTCTGAGCGTCGCTCCTCCGCCCTCCGTTGTTGTTGGAGGGCGACTGCCTCCAACTGCCCAGTAGCGTCCTTCACGAGCTTCCTCCACAGAGGCCGATCTTGACACCGCTGGTACCGGTCATCGGCAAGTCCACTCAGCTCCACGTCCTCCTGTACCACATCACTCCATCTCTTCTCTAGCCCGTGCCCCGCCCGCTTAGCCCCCTCAATCCGGCCGAACAAAAGCTGTTTCGGCATGCGGTGGCTGGGCATGCGGGCTACATGACCCAGCCATCGCAGCCTTGCCCGACGGAGGAGCTCACCGATGGGACCTTGCCCAGATCTTTCAAGGATTTGTGAGCTCCTCACACAATCCAGTCTGGTTAAACCCAGGATGGATCGTAGGCAGGCCAGCCTAAATGTTTCTAACCAGCGAAGATGTTCCATTAGGGGGGTCCACGTTTCGCAAGTGTAGAGAAGTGAGGGAATGACCGTGGCCGAGAAGACCTGAAGCTTAGTGCGGAGCGACAGACCAGGTAGCTTCCACACAGCGTTACGCAACCGATGAAAAGATATTGCCGCTCGACTGATTCGGAGTGAGACCTCTGCTGTCAAACTGGAGCCAGTCATGAGCACACTGCCCAGGTATGGGAAACTCTCCACTCTCTCCACAACTGCCCCATCACCGATTGGGAGTTGTGGGGGTGGAGTGTCCGATGGTACAAAATATGCAGGCAGGTGCTTAGTTTTGGTGGGGCTGATGGTAAGGCCCCACCTCTTAGTGGCACGCTCCAGTCTCAGCAGCAGCGTCTCCAACTCCTCCTCTGACTGAGCAGCTATTACCAAATCATCAGCATACATAAGGTGGTTGAGCAATAGGGAGCCATCCCTTGACCGCACCCGGGCATCGATCAGCCTCCCATTATATCTGTACCATATGGAGATTCCCCCGGTACAGCTATTGAAGGCTTCACGAACTACGTGGTCAAAATAGATGTTAAATAATGTGGGAGCCAGAGGACATCCCTGTCGCACCCCAAGGTGTACAGGAATGGCTCTGACTCCCGGCCACGTAGTTTTACCCGGGCCCGCTCACCATCATGAAGGTCCTTAATGATCGTGAGCAGAGGGTCAGGTACTCCAAAAGCACGAAGAACAACCCAGAGCCCAGGCCTACTGATGGTATCATAGGCCTGGACCAGGTCAATAAAGCAGAGATGTAGGTCTTGTTGGAATTCCCTACACCTCTGCTGTAGCAGACGGACAGAAAATATGGCATCTGTGCAGGACCGCCCTTTCCTGAAACCGCATTGGGGCTCCGCAAGCCTCTCCTCAGCGTGCCTGGTAAGGCACACAAACACACACAGACACACACACAGACACACACACAGACACACACAGACACACACAGACACACACACACACACATACACACACACAGACAGACACACACACAGACACACACAGACACACACACACACATACAGACACACACACAGACACACACAGACACACACATACACACACACAGACAGACACACACACATACACACACACACAAACACACACACACAAACACACAGACAGACACACACAAACACAGACAGACACACACACACACAAACACAGACATACACACACGCAGACACACACACACACACAGACCGACACACACAAACACAGACAGACACACACAAACACACAGACAGACACACACACACACACAGACAGACACACACAAACACAGACAGACACACACACACACAGACACACAAACACACAGACACACACACATACACACACACACATCTACACCACCCACCGGGATGCGCTGATGGAGACCGCCCGCTCGATGCCCCCGGCGCTCTGAAGGTGCCGGGCGTTGTCCACGCTGCCCGTGGCGAGCTCGGCCAGGGCCCCCAGCAGGGCGGCGACGCCGTCCTCGCCCACGGGGCCCAGCGGGACGCTCGCCGACGACGCGGGGGGGGGGCGCCCCCCCGACCCCCGCCTCCGGCGACACCTCGGGCAGCCTCTGCACCAGGTTCCTGGTGCCGTGGGTCCCTGGCGCAGAAACGTGGGGGGAGAGCCGTCAGCTAACCGCTGCTGCCGCTGCCGCTGCTGCTACTACTGCTGCTGCTGCTCCTGCTGCTGCTGCCGCCGCTGCTGCTGCTGCCGTTCTTGTTGTGTGGGAGACGTCCGTGTTGCAGCCTCCTCAACGTCTCCCACCCCCCCCCCCCCCCCCCCCCCCCCCGTGTCTCTCCCCCCCCCCCGTGTCTCTCCCCCCCCCCCGTGTCTCTCTCCCCGTGTCTCTCTCCCCGTGTCTCTCCCCCCGTGTCTCTCCCCCCGTGTCTCTCCCCCCCTGCATCTCCCCCCGTGTCTCTCTCCCCGTGTCTCTCCCCCCCCCAGTGTCTCTCCCTCCGTGTCTCTCTCCCCGCCTCTCCCCCCGTGTCTCTCCCCCACCATAACGACCCCTACACCACCACCACCACCACCCCCAGACCTATGAGAGCCTTGTTCTTGGGGTCGCGAGCGAGTCCACGCAGAGCGTGGGCGGACGCGCAGACCACTCGCTCGCGCTCGCTCCTCAGCTGCTCCACCAGCCGCGGCAGCCCCTCCTCCTTGCGCACCACCGCACGGGCAACCTCCGCCCACTGCCAACGACGACGGTGTCAACCACACACACACACACAGACACACACACACAGACACACACAGAGTCACACACACACACAGACACACACACACACAGAGTCACACACACACACAGACAGACACACGCACACACGCAGACACACACAGACACACAGACAGAGTCACACACACACACACAGACACACAACACACACACACAGACACACAGACACACACACAGACACACAGACACACACACACACGCAGACACGCACACACACACACGCAGACAGAGTCACACAACAGACACGCAGACACGCAGACACACACACACGCAGACAGAGTCACACACGCAGACACACACACACACACACAGACACACACACGCAGAGTCACACACACGCAGACACACGCACGCAGACACACGCACGCAGACACACGCACGCAGACACACACACGCAGACACACACACACAGACACACACAGACACACACAGACACACACACACAGACACACACACACACACACGCAGACACGCTCACACACACACACACACACACGCACACACGCACACACGCACACACACAGATACACACACACGCAGACACACACACACGCAGACACGTGCACACGCAGACACACACACGCAGACACACACACGTATGCACACGTGTATACATGCACACACATGTACACACACACACACACATGCACAGATAGACACACATACACGCAAAGATCACCCGTATAGCCTTGAAAGGCTGTAGGGGCAAGTGCTCTTAGCGAGTAGCAGAGCCTGTGAAGGCCGGCACGGCACACGAGGGGGTGGGTGGCCAGACACACACACGCACACACGCACACAAACACACATATAGATACACACACCACACACACACAGACACAGGCACACAGACAGAGTCACACACACAGACACACGCAGAGACACAGACAGACAGATAGATAGATACACACACCACACACAGACACAGTCACTCACAGAGACACACGCAGAGACACACACAGCCATAGATAGATACACACACCACACACACACACACAGACACAGTCACACACAGACACACGCAGAGACACACAGACAGATAGATATACACACACCACATACACACAGACACAGTCACACACAGACAGATAGATAGATACACACACCACATACACACAGACACAGTCACACACAGACACACACACAGACAGATAGATAGATACACACACCACATACACACAGACACACACACAGACAGATAGATAGATACACACACTACATACACACAGACACACACACAGACAGATAGATAGATACACACACCACATACACACAGACACAGTCACACACAGACACACACACACAGACACAGACACCCACGCGTGAGGGTGGGTGGCAGTGCGAGCTCGCGACAGTACCTGTCCGTCACCGCTAGCGAGGGTGTAGATGGCGCTGGTGGCCGCCTCCAGCGTGATTGGGTTCCTCGACTGCTTCAGCAGAGACACATAGGGGCGGAGTGCTTCGGGCTGGTACAGCAACTCCCACCCTATACACACACACACACATTATATACTATACACTACACTATACATTATACACTACATTATACATTATACACTACATTATACACTATACTCTCAGAGACACGTAGGGGCGGAGTGCTTCGGGCTGGTACAGCAACTCCCACCCTATACACACACACACACATTATATACTATACACTATACACTACACTATACACTATACACTACACACACATTATACATTATACACTACACACTACACTATACACTACATTATACACTACACTATACATTATACACTACACTATACACTACACACACATTATACATTATACACTACATTATACACTACACTCTCAGAGACACGAAGGGGCGGAGTGCTTCGGGCTGGTACAGCAACTCCCACCCTATACACACACACATTATACACTATACTATACACTACACACCACATTATACACTACATTATACACTACACTATACATTATACACTACATTAGACACTACATTATACACTATACTCTCAGAGACACGTAGGGGCGGAGTGCTTCGGGCTGGTACAGCAACTCCCACCCTACACACACACATTATACATTATACACTACACTATACACTACACACATTATACACTATACACTACATTATACACTACATTATACACTACACTCTCAGAGACACGAAGGGGCGGAGTGCTTCGGGCTGGTACAGCAACTCCCACCCTATACACACACACATTATACATTATACACTACACACAAACATACATTATACACTATACACTACATTATACACTACATTACACACTACACTCTCAGAGACACGAAGGGGCGGAGTGCTTCGGGCTGGTACAGCAACTCCCACCCTATACACACACACATTATACATTATACACTACACTACATTATACACTACACACACACATTATACATTATACACTACAGACACATTATACTCTACACACTACATTATACACTACACACACACATTATACATTATACACTACACACACATTATACACTACTTACACACTATACACTATACTCTTAGAGACACATAGGGGCGGAGTACCTCGGGCTGCTACAGCAACTCCCACCCTACACACACATTATACATTATACAAACACATTATACACTAAACACACTACACTACACACTATATTATACGAACACATTATACACTACACACACTATACACTACACTCACTATACACTACATTATACGAACACATTATACACTACACACACTATACACTACACTCACTAACTACACACACTATACACCACACTCACTATACACTACATTATACGAACACATTATACACTACACACACTATACACTACACTCACTAACTACACACACTATACACTACATTATACGAACACATTATACACTACACACACTATACACTACACTCACTACACACACTATACACTACACTCACTAACTACACACACTATACACTACACTCACTACATTATACTCCCCTCTCCTGAGTCTCAGTGACTCAGGGCACGGGAGGAGAGGGGAGGGAGCTCACCTCTGACAGGCTCCTTGCGAGGAGGGATGTCCACTTCATCGCCATCAGTACCCCCCTTGTTGCCTGGGAAGGGAACCATCACACACACACACACTACCATCACTCACACACACTACCATCACACACACACACACTACCATCACTCACACTCACACACACTACCATCACACACACTCACACACACTACCATCACTCACACACTACCATCACGCACACACTACCATCACACACACACTACCATCACACACACACTACCATCACACACACTACCATCACTCACACACACACTACCATCACTCACACACACTACCATCACACACACACACTACCATCACTAAAACACACACTACCATCACACACACTACCATCACTAAAACACACACTACCATCACACACACTACCATCACTAAAACACACACTACCATCACACACACTACCATCACTCACACACACACACACACTACCATCACTCACACACACTACCGTCACACACACACACTACCATCACACACACACACACTACCATCACACACACACACACACACTATCATCACACACACACACACACTACCATCACACACACTACCATCACACACACACTACCATCACTCACACACACTACCATCACACACACACACTACCATCACTCACACACTCACACTACCATCACACACACACACACCAGCTAAGGCCCCGCACACAGCTGCCGTCGCTCTGTGTTCACAAGCCACGTGGCCATCAACAAATGATAGCAGCTCAACCACGTGGCTGATATCATCATCGTCGTCATCATCGTCGTCATCATCGTCACGTGGACATTGACAGCAGCAGCAGCAGCAGCCAAAGACTCTGACCGAGCGTGGCGACGTCGACTCTGAACGTGGAGGGGACAAACGGAGGAGGAGCCGGAGACAAAATCCACGCAGCGACCACCACGGGGAGAGAGACGCAGACTGTACAGAGACAGCAGCAGCAGCAGCAGGGTCGGGGTGGAACCCACGACCTCCTGTAGACCAGGCGAGGTAGTTAACATCTCATAGTCACCGTGATGATGATGATGAGAGACACAGACCTCCTGTAGACCAGGCGAGGTAGTTAACATCTCATAGTCACCGTGGTGATGATGAGAGAGAGACACAGACCTCCTGTAGACCAGGCGAGGTAGTTAACATCTCATAGCCACCGTGGTGATGATGAGAGAGAGACACAGACCTCCTGTAGACCAGGCGAGGTAGCTAACATCTCATAGTCACCGTGGTGATGATGATGATGAGAGACACAGACCTCCTGTAGACCAGGCGAGGTAGTTAACATCTCATAGTCACCGTGGTGATGATGATGATGAGAGACAGACCTCCTGTAGACCAGGCGAGGTAGCTAACATCTCATAGTCACCGTGGTGATGATGAGAGAGACACAGACCTCCTGTAGACCAGGCGAGGTAGCTAACATCTCATAGTCACCGTGGTGATGATGAGAGAGACACAGACCTCCTGTAGACCAGGCGAGGTAGCTAACATCTCATAGCCACCGTGATGATGAGAGAGACACAGACCTCCTGTAGACCAGGCGAGGTAGCTAACATCTCAGTCACCGTGATGATGATGAGAGACACAGACCTCCTGTAGACCAGGCGAGGTAGTTAACATCTCATAGTCACCGTGGTGATGATGATGATGAGAGACAGACCTCCTGTAGACCAGGCGAGGTAGTTAACATCTCATAGCCACCGTGATGATGAGAGAGACACAGACCTCCTGTAGACCAGGCGAGGTAGCTAACATCTCATAGTCACCGTGGTGATGATGAGAGAGACACAGACCTCCTGTAGACCAGGCGAGGTAGTTAACATCTCATAGTCACCGTGGTGATGATGATGATGAGAGACAGACCTCCTGTAGACCAGGCGAGGTAGCTAACATCTCATAGTCACCGTGGTGATGATGAGAGAGACACAGACCTCCTGTAGACCAGGCGAGGTAGCTAACATCTCATAGTCACCGTGGTGATGATGAGAGAGACACAGACCTCCTGTAGACCAGGCGAGGTAGCTAACATCTCATAGCCACCGTGATGATGAGAGAGACACAGACCTCCTGTAGACCAGGCGAGGTAGCTAACATCTCAGTCACCGTGATGATGATGAGAGACACAGACCTCCTGTAGACCAGGCGAGGTAGTTAACATCTCATAGCCACCGTGATGATGAGAGAGACACAGACCTCCTGTAGACCAGGCGAGGTAGCTAACATCTCATAGCCACCGTGGTGATGATGAGAGAGACACAGACCTCCTGCAGACCAGGCGAGGTAGCTAACATCTCATAGCCACCGTGATGATGAGAGAGACACAGACCTCCTGTAGACCAGGCGAGGTAGCTAACATCTCATAGCCACCGTGGTGATGATGAGAGACACAGACCTCCTGTAGACCAGGCGAGGTAGCTAACATCTCATAGCTATCACTGGGCTCTGTGCTGTTAGTAGCGAGTAGCAGCAGCAGTGCCTATGAAGGCCAGCACGGCTCACAGAGCCAGACTAAGGCTCCCACAGGGTTCAGTGTTAATCACTGAGACTCACAGAGCCAGGCTAAGGCTCACACACGGTTCAGTGTTAATCAGTGAGACTCATAGAGCCAGACTAAGACTCCCACAGGGTTCAGTGTTAATCACTGAGACTCACAGAGCCAGACTAAGGCTCACACAGGGTTCAGTGTTAATCACTGAGACTCACAGAGCCAGACTAAGGCTCCCACAGGGTTCAGTGTTAATCACTGAGACTCACAGAGCCAGACTTATGCTCCCACAGGGTTTGATATTAATCACTGAGACTCACAGAGCCAGACTAAGGCTCCCACAGGGTTCAGTGTTAATCACTGAGACTCACAGAGCCAGGCTAAGGCTCACACACGGTTCAGTGTTAATCAGTGAGACTCATAGAGCCAGACTAAGACTCCTACAGGGTTCAGTGTTAATCACTGAGACTCACAGAGCCAGACTAAGGCTCCCACAGGGTTCAGTGTTAATCACTGAGACTCACAGAGCCAGACTTATGCTCCCACAGGGTTTGATATTAATCACTGAGACTCACAGAGCCAGACTAAGGCTCCCACAGGGTTCAGTGTTAATCACTGAGACTCACAGAGCCAGACTTAGGCTCCCACAGGGTTCAGTGTTAATCACTGAGACTCACAGAGCCAGGCTAAGGCTCACACACGGTTCAGTGTTAATCAGTGAGACTCATAGAGCCAGACTAAGACTCCCACAGGGTTCAGTGTTAATCACTGAGACTCACAGAGCCAGACTAAGACTCCCTTAAAGTTCAGGTTTAATCACTGAGACTCACAGAGCCAGACGAAGACTCCCACAGGGTTCAGTGTTAATCAGTGAGACTCATAGAGCCAGACTAAGACTCACACAGGGTTCAGTGTTAATCACTGAGACTCACAGAGCCAGACTAAGGCTCACACAGGGTTCAGTGTTAATCACTGAGACTCACAGAGCCAGACTAAGGCTCCCACAGGGTTCAGTATTAATCACTGAGACTCACAGAGCCAGACCAAAGACTCCCACAGGGTTCAGTGTTAATCACTGAGACTCACAGAGCCAGACTAAGGCTCCCACAGGGTTCAGTGTTAATCACTGAGACTCACAGAGCCAGACTAAGACTCACACAGGGTTCAGTGTTAATCACTGAGACTCACAGAGCCAGACTAAGGCTCCCACAGGGTTCAGTGTTAATCACTGAGACTCACAGAGCCAGACCAAAGACTCCCATAGGGTTCAGTGTTAATCACTGAGACTCACAGAGCCAGACTAAGGCTCCCACAGGGTTCAGTGTTAATCACTGAGACTCACAGAGCCAGACTAAGGCTCCCACAGGGTTCAGTGTTAATCACTGAGACTCACAGAGCCAGACTAAGGCTCCCACAGGGTTCAGTGTTAATCACTGAGACTCACAGAGCCAGACCAAAGACTCCCACAGGGTTCAGTGTTAATCACTGAGACTCACAGAGCCAGACTAAGGCTCCCACAGGGTTCAGTGTTAGTCACTGAGACTCACAGAACCAGACTAAGACTCCCACAGGGTTCAGTGTTAATCAGAGAGACTCACAGAGCCAGACTAAGGCTCCCACAGGGTTCAGTGTTAATCACTGAGACTCACAGAGCCAGACGAAGGCTCCCACAGGGTTCAGTGGGTTGAGGGTGCTGCATGGCGTACCTGATGAGAACCAGGCGTCTGGAAGAGCAGCAGGAGGAGGTAGAGGAGGTAGAGGAGGTAGAGGAGGAGGAGGAGGTGCAAGGAGGTGCAAAGAGGTGGGGAGAGAGCAGGAGGAGAAAAACGATGACGGAACACAGAGGTCAGAGGTCGGCACCTCCTGTAGGTGTGGTTCTGTATGGGCGGTGTGGTTCTGTAGGTGTGGTTCTGCAGGTGTGGTTCTGTAGGTGTGGTTCTGTATGTGTGGTTCTGTATGTGTGGTTCTGTAGGTGTGGTTCTGTAGGTGTGGTTCTGTAGGTGTGGTTCTGTAGGTGTGGTTCTGTAGGTGTGGTTCTAAATGGGCGGTGTGGTTCTGTAGGTGTGGTTCTGTATGGGCTGTGTGGTTCTGTAGGTGTGGTTCTGTAGGTGTGGTTCTGTAGGTGTGGTTCTGTATGGGCTGTGTGGTTCTGTAGGTGTGGTTCTGTAGGTGTGGTTCTGCAGGTGTGGTTCTGTATGGGCTGTGTGGTTCTGCAGGTGTGGTTCTGTAGGTGTGGTTCTGTAGGTGTGGTTCTGTAGGTGTGGTTCTGTAGGTGTGGTTCTGTAGGTGTGGTTCTGTAGGTGTGGTTCTGTAGGTGTGGTTCTGTAGGTGTGGTTCTGTAGGTGTGGTTCTGTATGGGTGGTTCTGTATGGGTGGTGTGGTTCTGTAGGGGTGGTTCTGTAGGTGTGAGTCTGTAGGTGTGGTTCTGTATGGGCTGTGTGGTTCTGTAGGTGTGGTTCTGTAGGGGTGGTTCTGTAGGTGTGGTTCTGTACGTGTGGTTCTGTAGGTGTGGTTCTGTAGGTGTGGTTCTGTAGGTGTGGTTCTGTATGGGCTGTGTGGTTCTGTAGGTGTGGTTCTGTAGGTGTGGTTCTGTATGGAATGTGTGGTTCTGCAGGTGTGGTTCTGTAGGTGTGGTTCTGTAGGTGTGGTTCTGTAGGCGTGGTTCTGTAGGTGTGGTTCTGTATGGGCTGTGTGGTTCTGTAGGGGTGGTTCTGTAGGTGTGGTTCTGTAGGTGTGGTTCTGTAGGTGTGGTTCTGTAGGTGTGGTTCTGTAGGTGTGGTTCTGTATGGGCTGTGTGGTTCTGTAGGTGTGGTTCTGTAGGTGTGGTTCTATAGGTGTGGTGCGGTGTGGTTCTGTAGGTGTGGATCTGTAGGTGTGGTTCTGTAGGTGTGGTTCTGTATGTGCGGTGTGGTTCTGTAGGTGTGGTTCTGTATGGGCGGTGTGGTTCTGTAGGTGTGGTTCTGTAGGTGTGGTTCTGTAGGTGTGGTTCTGCATGGGTGGTTCTGTATGGGTGGTTCTGTATGGGCTGTGTGGTTCTGTAGGTGTGGTTCTGTAGGGGTGGTTCTGTAGGTGTGGTTCTGTAGGTGTGGTTCTGTATGGGTGGTTCTGTATGGGTGGTGTGGTTCTGTAGGGGTGGTTCTGTAGGTGTGGTTCTGTAGGTGTGGTTCTGTATGGGTGGTTCTGTATGGGCGGTGTGGTTCTGTAGGTGTCGTTCTGTAGGTGTGGTTCTGTAGGTGTGGTTCTGTAGGTGTGGTTCTGTATGGGTGGTTCTGTATGGGTGGTGTGGTTCTGTAGGGGTGGTTCTGTAGGTGTGAGTCTGTAGGTGTGGTTCTGTATGGGCTGAGTGGTTCTGCAGGTGTGGTTCTGCAGGTGTGGTTCTGCAGGTGTGGTTCTGTATGGGCTGTGTGGTTCTGTAGGTGTGGTTCTGTAGGTGTGGTTCTGTAGGTGTGGTTTTGTATGGGCTGTGTGGTTCTGTAGGTGTGGTTCTGTAGGTGTGGTTCTGTAGGTGTAGTTCTGTATGTGTGGTTCTGTAGGTGTGGTTCTGTATGGGCGGTGTGGTTGTGTAGGTGTGGTTCTGTATGGGCTGTGTGGTTCTGTAGGTGTAGTTCTGTATGTGTGGTTCTGTATGTGTAGTTCTGTATGTGTGGTTCTGTAGGTGTGGTTCTGTAGGTGTGGTTCTGTAGGTGTGGTTCTTTAGGTGTGGTTCTGTAGGTGTGGTTCTGTAGGTGTGTTTCTGTAGGTGTGGTTCTGTAGGTGTGGTTCTGTAGGTGTGGTTCTGTAGGTGTGGTTCTGTATGGGCTGTGTGGTTCTGTAGGTGTGGTTCTGTAGGTGTGGTTCTGTAGGTGTGGTTCTGTAGGCGTGGTTCTGTATGGGCTGTGTGATTCTGTAGGTGTGGTTCTGTAGGTGTGGTTCTGTAGGCGTGGTTCTGAAGGTGTGGTTCTGTATGGGCTGTGTGGTTCTGTAGGGGTGGTTCTGTAGGTGTGGTTCTGTAGGTGTGGTTCTGTAGGTGTGGTTCTGTAGGTGTGGTTCTGTAGGTGTGGTTCTGTATGGGCTGTGTGGTTCTGTAGGTGTGGTTCTGTAGGTGTGGTTCTGTAGGTGTGGTTCTGTAGGTGTGGTTCTGTAGGTGTGGTGCGGTGTGGTTCTGTAGGTGTGGTTCTGTATGGGCTGTGTGGTTCTGTATGTGTGGTTCTGTATGTGTGGTTCTGTAGGTGTGGTTCTGTAGGTGTGGTTCTGTAGGTGTGGTTCTGTAGGTGTGGTTTTGTAGGTGTGGTTATGTAGGTGTGGTTATGTAGGTGTGGTTCTGTAGGTGTGGTTCTGTAGGTGTGGTTCTGTAGGTGTGGTTCTGTATGGGCTGTGTGGTTCTGTATGTGTAGTTCTGTATGTGTGGTTCTGTATGTGTAGTTCTGTATGTGTGGTTCTGTAGGTGTGGTTCTGTAGGTGTGGTTCTGTAGGTGTGGTTCTGTAGGTGTGGTTCTGTATGGGCTGTGTGGTTCTGTAGGTGTGGTTCTGTAGGTGTGGTTCTGTAGGTGTGGTTCTGTAGGTGTGGTTCTGTAAGTGTGGTTCTGTATGGGCTGTGTGGTTCTGTAGGTGTGGTTCTGTAGGTGTGGTTCTGTAGGTGTGGTTCTGTATGGGCTGTGTGGTTCTGTAGGTGTGGTTCTGTAGGTGTGGTTCTGTAGGTGTGGTTCTGTAGGTGTGGTTCTGTAGGTGTGGTTCTGTATGGGCTGTGTGGTTCTGTAGGTGTGGTTCTGTAGGTGTGGTGCGGTGTGGTTCTGTAGGTGTGGTTCTGTAGGTGTGGTTCTGTATGGGCTGTGTGGTTCTGTAGGTGTGGTTCTGTAGGTGTGGTGCGGTGTGGTTCTGTAGGTTTGGTTCTGTAGGTGTGGTTCTGTAGGTGTGGTTCTGTAGGTGTGGTTCTGTATGGGCTGTGTGTCTGTATGTGTGGTTCTGTATGTGTGGTTCTGTAGGTGTGGTTCTGTAAGTGTGGTTCTGTAGGTGTGGGTTCTGTAGTGTGGTTCTGTAGGTGTGGTTCTGTAGGTGTGGTTCTGTAGGTGTGGTTCTGTAGGTGTGGTTCTGTAGGTGCGGTTCTGTAGGTGCGTGTGGTTCTGTAGGTGTGGTTCTGTAGGAGTGGTTCTGTAGGTGCGGTGTGGTTCTGTAGGTGTGTTCTGTATGGGCGGTGTGGTTCTGTATGGGCGGTGTGGTTCGGTAGGTGTGGTTCTGTAGGTGTGGTTCTGTAGGTGTGGTTCTGTATGGGTGGTTCTGTATGGGTGGTTCTGTATGGGCTGTGTGGTTCTGTAGGTGTGGTTCTGTAGGGGTGGTTCTGTAGGTGTGGTTCTGTAGGTGTGGTTCTGCAGGTGTGGTTCTGTATGGGTGGTTCTGTATGGGTGGTGTGGTTCTGTAGGGGTGGTTCTGTAGGTGTGAGTCTGTAGGTGTGGTTCTGTATGGGCTGTGGTTCTGTAGGTGTGGTTCTGTAGGGGTGGTTCTGTAGGTGTGGTTCTGTAGGTGTGGTTCTGTAGGTGTGGTTCTGTAGGTGTGGTTCTGTATGGGCTGTGTGTTCTGTAGGTGTGGTTCTGTATGTGCGGTGTGGTTCTGTAGGTGTGGTTCTGTATGGGCGGTGTGGTTCTGTAGGTGTGGTTCTGTAGGTGTGGTTCTGTAGGTGTGGTTCTGCATGGGTGGTTCTGTATGGGTGGTTCTGTATGGGCTGTGTGGTTCTGTAGGTGTGGTTCTGTAGGGGTGGTTCTGTAGGTGTGGTTCTGTAGGTGTGGTTCTGTATGGGTGGTTCTGTATGGGTGGTGTGGTTCTGTAGGGGTGGTTCTGTAGTGTGGTTCTGTAGGTGTGGTCTGTAGGGGTGGTTCTGATTGGGCGGTGTGGTTCTGTAGGGGTCGTTCTGTAGGTGTGGTTCTGTAGGTGTGGTTCTGTAGGTGTGGTTCTGTATGGGTGGTTCTGTATGGGTGGTGTGGTTCTGTAGGGGTGGTTCTGTAGGTGTGAGTCTGTAGGTGTGGTTCTGTATGGGCTGAGTGGTTCTGTAGGTGTGGTTCTGTATGGGCTGTGTGGTTCTGCAGGTGTGGTTCTGCAGGTGTGGTTCTGCAGGTGTGGTTCTGTATGGGCTGTGTGGTTCTGTAGGTGTGGTTCTGTAGGTGTGGTTCTGTAGGTGTGGTTTTGTATGGGCTGTGTGGTTCTGTAGGTGTGGTTCTGTAGGTGTGGTTCTGTAGGGTAGTTCTGTATGTGTGGTTCTGTAGGTGTGGTTCTGTATGGGCGGTGTGGTTGTGTAGGTGTGGGTTCTGTATGGGCTGTGTGGTTCTGTAGGTGTAGTTTCTGTATGTGTGGTTCTGTATGTGTAGTTCTGTATGTGTGGTTCTGTAGGTGTGGTTCTGTAGGTGTGGTTCTGTAGGTGTGGTTCTTTAGGTGTGGTTCTGTAGGTGGTGGTTCTGTAGGTGTGTTTCTGTAGGTGGTGGTTCTGTAGGTGTGGTTCTGTAGGTGTGGTTCTGTAGGTGTGGTTCTGTATGGGCTGTGTGGTTCTGTAGGTGTGGTTCTGTAGGTGTGGTTCTGTAGGTGTGGTTCTGTAGGCGTGGTTCTGTATGGGCTGTGTGATTCTGTAGGTGTGGTTTCTGTAGGTGTGGTTCTGTAGGCGTGGTTCTGAAAGGTGTGGTTCTGTATGGGCTGTGTGGTTCTGTAGGGGTGGTTCTGTAGGTGTGGTTCTGTAGGTGTGGTTCTGTAGGTGTGGTTCTGTAGGTGTGGTTCTGTAGGTGTGGTTCTGTATGGGCTGATGTGGTTCTGTAGGTGTGGTTCTGTAGGTGTGGTTCTGTAGGTGTGGTTCTGTAGGTGTGGTTCTGTAGGTGTGGGTGGTTCTGTAGGTGGGTCTGTATGGCTGTGGTTCTGTATGTGTGGTTCTGTATGGTGTGGTTCTGTAGGTGTGGTCTGTAGGTGTGGTTCTGTAGGTGTGGTTCTGTAGGTGTGGTTTTGTATGTGTGGTTATGTAGGTGTGGTTATGTAGGTGTGGTTCTGTAGGTGTGGTTCTGTAGGTGTGGTTCTGTAGTGTGGTTCTGTATGGGCTGTGTGGTTCTGTATGTGTAGTTCTGTATGTGTGGTTCTGTATGTGTAGTTCTGTATGTGTGGTTCTGTAGGTGTGGTTCTGTAGGTGTGGTTCTTTAGGTGTGGTTCTGTAGGTGTGGTTCTGTAGGTGTGGTTCTGTAGGTGTGGTTCTGTAGGTGTGGTTCTGTAGGTGTGGTTCTGTATGGGCTGTGTGGTTCTGTAGGTGTGGTTCTGTAGGTGTGGTTCTGTAGTGTGGTTCTGTAGGTGTGGTTCTGTAAGTGTGGTTCTGTATGGCTGTGTGGTTCTGTAGGTGTGGTTCTGTAGGTGTGGTTCTGTAGGTGTGGTTCTGTATGGGCTGTGTGGTTCTGTAGGTGTGGTTCTGTAGGTGTGGTTCTGTAGGTGTGGTTCTGTAGGTGTGGTTCTGTAGGTGTGGTTCTGTATGGGCTGTGTGGTTCTGTAGGTGTGGTTCTGTAGGGTGGTGCGGTGTGGTTCTGTAGGGGTTCTGTAGGTGTGGTTCTGTATGGGCTGTGTGGTTCTGTAGGTGTGGTTCTGTAGGTGTGGTGCGGTGTGGTTCTGTAGGTTTGGTTCTGTAGGTGTGGTTCCTTAGGTGTGGTTCTGTAGGTGTGGTTCTGTATGGGCTGTGTGGTTCTGTATGTGTGGTTCTGTATGTGTGGTTCTGTAGGTGTGGTTCTGTATGTGTGGTTCTGTAGGTGTGGTTCTGTAGGTGTGGTTCTGTAGGTGTGGTTCTGTAGGTGTGGTTCTGTAGGTGTGGTTCTGTAGGTGTGGTTCTGTAGGTGCGGTTCTGTAGGTGCGGTGTGGTTCTGTAGGTGTGGTTCTGTAGGAGTGGTTCTGTAGGTGCGGTGTGGTTCTGTAGGTGTGGTTCTGTATGGGCGGTGTGGTTCTGTATGGGCGGTGTGGTTCGGTAGGTGTGGTTCTGTAGGTGTGGTTCTGTAGGTGTGGTTCTGTATGGGTGGTTCTGTATGGGTGGTTCTGTATGGGCTGTGTGGTTCTGTAGGTGTGGTTCTGTAGGGGTGGTTCTGTAGGTGTGGTTCTGTAGGTGTGGTTCTGTAGGTGTGGTTCTGCAGGTGTGGTTCTGTATGGGTGGTTCTGTATGGGTGGTGTGGTTCTGTAGGGGTGGTTCTGTAGGTGTGAGTCTGTAGGTGTGGTTCTGTATGGGCTGTGGGTTCTGTAGGTGTGGTTCTGTAGGGGTGGTTCTGTAGGTGTGGTTCTGTAGTGGTGGTTCTGTAGGTGTGGTTCTGTAGGTGTGGTTCTGTATGGGCTGTGTGTTCTGTAGGTGTGGTTCTGTAGGTGTGGTTCTGCAAGTGTGGTTCTGCAGGTGTGGTTCTGCAGGTGTGGTTCTGCAGGTGTGGTTCTGTAGGTGTGGTTCTGTAGGTGTGGTTCTGTAGGTGTGGTTTTGTATGGGCTGTGTGGTTCTGTAGGTGTGGTTCTGTAGGTGTGGTTCTGTATGGGCTGTGTGGTTCTGTAGGTGTGGTTCTGTATGGGCTGTGTGGTTCTGTAGGTGTGGTTCTGTAGGTGTGGTTCTGTAGGTGTGGTTCTGTATGGGCTGTGTGGTTCTGTATGGGCTGTGTGGTTCTGTAGGTGTGGTTCTGTAGGTGTGGTTCTGTATGGAATGTGTGGTTCTGCAGGTGTGGTTCTGTAGGTGTGGTTCTGTAGGTGTGGTTCTGTAGGTGTGGTTCTGTAGGTGTGGTTCTGTAGGTGTGGTTCTGTAGGTGTGGTTCTGTATGGGCTGTGTGGTTCTGTAGGTGTGGTTCCGTAGGTGTGGTTCTGTAGGTGTGGTTCTGTAAGTGTGGTTCTGTATGGGCTGTGTGGTTCTGTAGGTGTGGTTCTGTAGGTGTGGTTCTGTAGGCGTGGTTCTGTAGGTGTGGTTCTGTAGGTGTGGTTCTGTAGGCGTGGTTCTGTAGGTGTGGTTCTGTATGGGCTGTGTGGTTCTGTAGGGGTGGTTCTGTAGGTGTGGTTCTGTAGGTGTGGTTCTGTAGGTGTGGTTCTGTATGGGCTGTGTGGTTCTGTAGGTGTGGTTCTGTAGGTGTGGTTCTGTAGGTGTGGTGCGGTGTGGTTCTGTAGGTGTGGTTCTGTATGGGCTGTGTGGTTCTGTATGTGTGGTTCTGTAGGTGTGGTTCTGTAGGTGTGGTTCTGTAGGTGTGGTTCTGTAGGTGTGGTTCTGTATGTGCGGTGTGGTTCTGTAGGTGTGGTTCTGTATGGGCGGTGTGGTTCTGTAGGTGTGGTTCTGTAGGTGTGGTTCTGTAGGTGTGGTGTGGTTCTGTAGGTGTGGTTCTGTAGGGGTGGTTCTGTAGGTGTGGTTCTGTAGGTGTGGTTCTGTATATGCGGTGTGGTTCTGTAGGTGTGGTTCTGTAGGTGTGGTTCTGCAGGTGTGGTTCTGTAGGTGTGGTTCTGTATGGGCTGTGTGGTTCTGTAGGTGTGGTTCTGTAGGTGTGGTTCTGTAGGTGTGGTTCTGTATGGGCTGTGTGGTTCTGTAGGTGTGGTTCTGTAGGTGTGGTTCTGTAGGTGTGGTTCTGTATGGGCTGTGTGGTTCTGTAGGTGTGGTTCTGCAGGTGTGGTTCTGTACGTGTGGTTCTGTAGGTTTGGTTCTATATGGGCGGTGTGGTTCTGTAGGTGTGGTTCTGTAGGTGTGGTTCTGTAGGTGTGGTTCTGTACGTGTGGTTCTGTAGGTGTGGTTCTATATGGGCGGTGTGGTTCTGTAGGTGTGGCTCTGTAGGTGTGGTTCTGCAGGTGTGGTTCTGTAGGTGTGGTTCTGTATGGGCTGTGTGGTTCTGTAGGTGTGGTTCTGTAGGTGTGGTTCTGTAGGTGTGGTTCTGCAGGTGTGGTTCTGTATGGGCTGTGTGGTTCTGTAGGTGTGGTTCTGTAGGTATGGTTCTGTAGGTGTGGTTCTGTAGGTGTGGTTCTGTAGGTGTGGTTCTGTATGGGATGTGTGGTTATGTAGGTGTGGTTCTGTAGGTGTGGTTCTGTAGGTGTGGTTCTGTATGGGATGTGTGGTTATGTAGGTGTGGTTCTGTAGGTGTGGTTCTGTAGGTGTGGTTCTATATGGGCTGTGTGGTTCTGTAGGTGTGGTTCTGTAGGTGTGGTTCTGCAGGTGTGGTTCTGCAGGTGTGGTTCTGTAGGTGTGGTTCTGTAGGTGTGGTTCTGTAGGTGTGGTTCTGTAGGTGTGGTTCTGTAGGTGTGGTTCTGTAGGTGTGGTTCTGTAGGTGTGGTTCTGTATGGGATGTGTGGTTATGTAGGTGTGGTTCTGTAGGTGTGGTTCTGTAGGTGTGGTTCTGTATGGGATGTGTGGTTATGTAGGTGTGGTTCTGTAGGTGTGGTTCTGTAGGTGTGGTTCTATATGGGCTGTGTGGTTCTGTAGGTGTGGTTCTGTAGGTGTGGTTCTGCAGGTGTGGTTCTGCAGCAGCGAGGTAGTCCACCTTTGTCCCGCTTGGCGAAGCAGCGAGTCTCAGCGCCGCGCCGACGCGGTGAGGAGGAGGAGGCCCCCTGGGCCACGGCCGCTCCCGCAGGGACGTCGCGGAAAATGTCGCAGCTCAGGTTGCGGAGGATGCACACACTGTTCTCTACAGCCTGTAAGTACACACACACAAACACACACACTGTTCTCTACAGCCTACAAGTACACACACACACTGTTGTCTACAGCCTACAAATACACACACACAAACACACACACTGTTCTCTACAGCCTACAAATACACACACACAAACACACACACTGTTCTCTACAGCCTGTAAGTACAGCATGTACACACACACACACTGTTCTCTACAGCCTGCAAATACAGCATGTACACACACACACTGTTCTCTACAGCCTGTAAGTACAGCGTGTACACACACACACTGTTCTCTACAGCCTGTAAGTACACACACACACAATGTTCTCTACAGCCTGTAAGTACACACACACAAACACACACACTGTTCTCTACAGCCTGTAAGTACACACACACAAACACACACACTGTTCTCTACAGCCTGTAAGTACACACACAAACACCCACACTGTTCTCTACAGCCTGTAAGTACAGCATGTACACACACACACACTGTTCTCTACAGCCTGTAAGTACACACACACAAACACACACACTGTTCTCTACAGCCTGCAAATACAGCATGTACAGACACACACTGTTCTCTACAGCCTGTAAGTACACACACACAAACACACACACTGTTCTCTACAGCCTGTAAGTACACACACACAAACACACACACTGTTCTCTACAGCCTGTAAGTACACACACACACTGTTGTCTACAGCCTACAAATACAGCGTGTACACACACACACACTGTTCTCTACAGCCTGTAAGTACACACACACAAACACACACACTGTTCTCTACAGCCTGTAAGTACAGCGTGTACACACACACAAACACACTGTTCTCTACAGCCTGTAAGTACACACACACAAACACACACACTGTTCTCTACAGCCTGCAAATACAGCATGTACACACACACACACTGTTCTCTACAGCCTGTAAGTACACACACACAAACACCCACACTGTTCTCTACAGCCTGTAAGTACAGCGTGTACACACACACACAAACACACTGTTCTCTACAGCCTGTAAGTACACACACACAAACACACTGTTCTCTACAGCCTACAAATACAGCATACACACACACACTGTTCTCTACAGCCTACAAATACAGCGTACACACACTGTTCTCTACAGCCTGTAAGTACACACACTGTTCTCTACAGCCTACAAATACAGCGTGTACACACACACTGTTCTCTACAGCGTGTACACACACACACTGTTCTCTACAGCCTACAAATACAGCGTACACACACTGTTCTCTACAGCCTACAAATACAGCGTGTACACACACACACAATGTTGTATACAGCCTGCAAATACACAAACACTGTTCTCTACAGCCTACAAATACAGCGTGTACACACACTGTTCTCTACAGCCTGTAAGTACACACACACTGTTCTCTACAGCCTACAAATACAGCGTACACACACACTGTTCTCTACAGCCTACAAATACAGCGTACACACACACTGTTCTCTACAGCCTGCAAATACAGCGTACACACACACTGTTCTCTACAGCCTACAAATACAGCGTACACACACACACAAACACACTGTTGTCGACAGCCTACAAATACAGCACACACACACACTGTTCTCTACAGCCTGTAAGTACAGCGTGTACACACACAAACACACTGTTCTCTACAGCCTGCAAATACAGCGTGTACACACACACAATGTTCTCTACAGCGTACACACACACACTGTTCTCTACAGCCTGCAAATACAGCATACACACACACACAAACACACTGTTGTCTACAGCCTGCAAATACACACACACACTGTTCTCTACAGCCTGCAAATACAGCATACACACACACACTGTTCTCTACAGCCTACAAATACAGCGCGTACACACTGTTGTCTACAGCCTACAAATACACACACACAATGTTGTATACAGCCTGCAAATACACACACACAATGTTGTATACAGCGTACACACACTGTTCTCTACAGCCTACAAATACACACACACACAATGTTGTATACAGCGTACACACACTGTTCTCTACAGCCTACAAATACAGCGTGTACACACACACACAATGTTGTATACAGCCTGCAAATACACAAACACTGTTCTCTACAGCCTACAAATACAGCGTGTACACACACTGTTCTCTACAGCCTGTAAGTACACACACACTGTTCTCTACAGCCTACAAATACAGCGTACACACACACTGTTCTCTACAGCCTACAAATACAGCGTACACACACACTGTTCTCTACAGCCTGCAAATACAGCGTACACACACACTGTTCTCTACAGCCTACAAATACAGCGTACACACACACACAAACACACTGTTGTCTACAGCCTACAAATACAGCACACACACACACTGTTCTCTACAGCCTGTAAGTACAGCGTGTACACACACACACAAACACACTGTTCTCTACAGCCTGCAAATACAGCGTGTACACACACACACTGTTCTCTACAGCCTGTAAGTACAGCGTGTACACACACACACAATGTTCTCTACAGCGTACACACACACACACACTGTTCTCTACAGCCTGCAAATACAGCATACACACACACACAAACACACTGTTGTCTACAGCCTGCAAATACACACACACACTGTTCTCTACAGCCTGCAAATACAGCATACACACACTGTTCTCTACAGCCTACAAATACAGCGTGTACACACTGTTGTCTACAGCCTACAAATACACACACACAATGTTGTATACAGCCTGCAAATACACACACACAATGTTGTATACAGCGTACACACACTGTTCTCTACAGCCTACAAATACACACACACACTGTTCTCTACAGCCTACAAATACACACACACACTGTTCTCTACAGCCTGCAAATACACACACACACACACTGTTCTCTACAGCCTGTAAGTACAGCGTGTACACACTGTTGTCTACAGCGTACACACACACACTGTTGTCTACAGCCTACAAATACACACACACACACACTGTTCTCTACAGCCTACAAATGCAGCGTACACACACACACACTGTTCTCTACAGCCTACAAATACAGCATACACACACACTGTTCTCTACAGCCTACAAGTACAGCGTACACACACTGTTGTCTACAGCCTACAAATACAGCGTGTATACACACACACACTGTTCTCTACAGCCTACAAATACACACACACACACTGTTGTATACAGCCTGTAAATACACACACACACTGTTCTCTACAGCCTACAAATACACACACACACTGTTCTCTACAGCCTGTAAATACACACACACACTGTTGTCTACAGCCTACAAATACAGCGTACACACTGTTGTATACAGCGTACACACACACACTGTTGTCTACAGCCTGCAAGTACACACACACACTGTTCTCTACAGCCTACAAATACAGCGTGTACACACACACACTGTTGTATACAGCGTACACACACACACTGTTCTCTACAGCCTGCAAATACACACACACACTGTTCTCTACAGCCTGTAAGTACAGCGTGTACACACACACTGTTGTCTACAGCCTGTAAGTACACACACACACTGTTGTATACAGCGTACACACACACTGTTCTCTACAGCCTGCAAATACACACACACACACTGTTGTCTACAGCCTGTAAGTACACACACAAACACACTGTTGTCTACAGCGTACACACACACACACTGTTCTCTACAGCCTACAAATACACACACACACACACTGTTCTCTACAGCCTACAAATACAGCATACACACACACACTGTTCTCTACAGCCTGTAAGTACACACACACACACTGTTCTCTACAGCCTGTAAGTACACACACACACACTGTTCTCTACAGCCTGCAAATACAGCATACACACACACACTGTTCTCTACAGCCTACAAATACAGCATACACACACTGTTCTCTACAGCCTACAAATACACACACACTGTTGTATACAGCCTGTAAGTACACACACACACACTGTTCTCTACAGCCTGCAAGTACACACACACACACTGTTCTCTACAGCCTGCAAGTACAGCGTACACACACACACTGTTCTCTACAGCCTGCAAATACAGCATACACACACACACACTGTTCTCTACAGCCTACAAATACAGCGTGTACACACTGTTGTCTACAGCCTACAAATACACACACACAATGTTGTCTACAGCCTACAAATACACACACACAATGTTGTATACAGCCTGCAAATACACACACACAATGTTGTATACAGCGTACACACACTGTTCTCTACAGCCTACAAATACACACACACACAATGTTGTATACAGCGTACACACACTGTTCTCTACAGCCTACAAATACACACACACACACACTGTTCTCTACAGCCTGCAAATACACACACACACACTGTTCTCTACAGCCTGTAAGTACAGCGTGTACACACTGTTGTCTACAGCGTACACACACACACTGTTGTCTACAGCCTACAAATACACACACACACACACTGTTCTCTACAGCCTACAAATACAGCATACACACACACTGTTCTCTACAGCCTACAAGTACAGCGTACACACACTGTTGTCTACAGCCTACAAATACAGCGTGTATACACACACACTGTTCTCTACAGCCTACAAATACACACACACACACACTGTTGTATACAGCCTGTAAATACACACACACACTGTTCTCTACAGCCTACAAATACACACACACACACTGTTCTCTACAGCCTGTAAATACACACACACACTGTTGTCTACAGCCTACAAATACAGCGTACACACTGTTGTATACAGCGTACACACACACACTGTTGTCTACAGCCTGCAAGTACACACACACACACACACTGTTCTCTACAGCCTACAAATACAGCGTGTACACACACACACTGTTGTATACAGCGTACACACACACACTGTTCTCTACAGCCTGCAAATACACACACACACTGTTCTCTACAGCCTGTAAGTACAGCGTGTACACACACACTGTTGTCTACAGCCTGTAAGTACACACACACACTGTTGTATACAGCGTACACACACACTGTTCTCTACAGCCTGCAAATACACACACACACACTGTTGTCTACAGCCTGTAAGTACACACACACACACACTGTTCTCTACAGCCTGTAAGTACAGCGTACACACACACACACTGTTGTATACAGCGTACACACACACACTGTTCTCTACAGCCTGCAAGTACACACACACACACTGTTGTCTACAGCCTGCAAGTACACACACACACTGTTCTCTACAGCCTGCAAGTAGAGCGTACACACACACACACACTGTTCTCTACAGCCTGCAAGTACACCACGGTGGTGGTGGTGATGGTGGTGGTGGTTGTCGTGGTGGTGATGGTTGTGATGGTGGTGGTGGTTGTGGTGGTGGTGATGGTTGTGGCGGTTGTGGTGGTGGTGGTTGTGGTGATGGTGGTGATGGTTGTGGTGGCGGTTGTGGTGGTGGTGGTTGTGGTTGTGGTCACCACCTTGGTGTCCGTGTTGTGGTCCTCAAGTGCCGAGCAGACAAAGTGGAGCAGGGAGTCCACCAGCCCCTCGCACTGACGCATGCGCAACCGCACGTCCGCCCCGGCCGAGCTGACGTTCCTGCAACGTTCACGCAACGTCCACACGCGACGTTCACGCAACGTTCACGCAACGTTCACACGCAACGTTCACGCAACGTCCACACGCGACGTTCACGCAACGTTCACGCAACGTTCACGCAACGTTCACGCAACGTCCACACGCAACGTCCACACGCAACGTCCACACGCAACGTCCACACGCAACGTCCACACGCGACGTTCACGCAACGTTCACGCAACGTTCACACGCAACGTTCACGCAACGTCCACACGCAACGTCCACACGCAACGTCCACACGCAACGTTCACGCAACGTCCACACGCAACGTTCACACGTGACGTTCACGCAACGTTCACGCAACGTCCACACGCAACGTTCACACGTGACGTTCACGCAACGTTCACGCAACGTCCACACGCAACGTTCACACGTGACGTTCACGCAACGTCCACACGCAACGTTCACACGCAACGTCCACACGCAACGTCCACACGCAACGTCCACACGCAACGTCCACGCAACGTTCACGCAACGTTCACGCAACGGCCGTGTGTGGCCGCGTGTACACCTGGCTGCGTGTGTGGCTGCGTGTGGCTGTGTGTGTGTGTGTGGCTGTGTGTGTGGCTGCGTGTGTGTCTGTGTGTGTGGCTGTGTGTGTGGCTGCGTGTGTGGCTGTGTGTGTGGCTGTGTGTGTGGCTGCGTGTGTGTCTGTGTGTGTGTGTCTGTGTGTGTGTATGTCTGTGTGTGTGTGGCTGCGTGTGTGTGTGTGGGTGTGTGTCTGTGTGTGGCTGTGTGTCTGTGTCTGCGTGTGTGTCTGTGTGTCTGTGTCTGGCTGCGTGTGTCTGCGTGTGTCTGCGTGCGCAGCTGCGTGTGTGTCTGCGTGCGTGGCTGTGTGTGTGTCTGTGTGTGTATGTCTGCGAAACGTGGACCCCCCTAATGGAACATCTTCGCAGGTTGGAAACATTTAGGCTGACCTGCCTACGATCCATCCTGGGTTTAACCAGACTGGATTGTGTGAGGAGCTCACAAATCCTTGAAAGATCTGGGCAAAGTCCCATCGGTGAGCTCCTCCGGCAGGCAAGGCTGCGTTGGCTGGGTCACGTAGCCCGCATGCCCAGCCACCGCATGCCGAAACAGCTTTTGTTTGGCCGGATTGAGGGGGCTAAGCGGGCGCAGCACGGGCTAGAGAAGAGATGGAGTGATGTGGTACAGGAGGACGTGGAGCTGAGTGGACTTGCCGATGACTGGTACCAGCGGTGTCAAGATCGGCCTCTGTGGAGGAGGCTCGTGAAGGATGCTACTGGGCAGTTGGAGGCAGTCGCCCTCCAACAACAACGGAGGGCGGAGGAGCGACGCTCAGAACAACGAGTGGAGCGCCGGGTGGCTAAAGCACAGCAGGTTGGCACAGTAGGGGGCACAGGTGGTGCATCAGCCAGTCATCTCAGTCAGTCGACCCGTGGCACCTGGGTCTGCCCCGTGACCTCCTGCCAGCGGGCGTTCGACACTTCACGTGGCCTCAGGGTGCACATAGCCTGGCACAAGCATCGTGGTGACGTCACCGCCACTTAGTGGCGAATGGCGGTTGTTGTTGTTGTTGTGTGTGTGTATGTGTGTGTCTGTGTGTGTGTGTCTGTGTGTCTGTGTCTGGCTGCGTGTGTGTCTTTGTGTGTCTGCGTGCGTGTGTCTGCGTGCGCAGCTGCGTGTGTGGCTGCGTGTGCGTGTGTGTGTCTGCGTGTGTCTGCGTGTGTGTGTCTGCGTGTGTGTGTGTGCCCTTTCCAGGAAAGGGCGGTCCTGCACAGATGCCATATTTTCTGTCCGTCTGCTACAGCAGAGGTGTAGGGAATTCCAGCAAGACCTACATCTCTGCTTTATTGACCTGGTCAAGGCCTATGATACCATCAGTAGGCCTGGGCTCTGGGTTGTTCTTCGTGCTTTTGGAGTACCTGACCCTCTGCTCACGATCATTAAAAACCTTCATGATGGTGAGCGGGCCCGGGTAAAACTACGTGGCCGGGAGTCAGAGCCATTCCTGTACACCTTGGGGTGCGACAGGGATGTCCTCTGGCTCCCACATTATTTAACATCTATTTTGACCACGTAGTTCGTGAAGCCTTCAATAGCTGTACCGGGGGAATCTCCATATGGTAAAGATATAATGGGAGGCTGATCGATGCCCGGGTGCGGTCAAGGGATGGCTCGCTATTGCTCAACCACGTTATGTATGCCGATGATTTGGTAATAGCTGCTCATTCAGAGGAGGAGTTGGAGACGCTGCTGCTGAGACTGGAGCGTGCTACTAAGAGATGGGGCCTTACCATCAGCCCCACCAAAACTAAGCACCTGCCTGGGTATTTTGTACCATCGGACACTCCACCCCCACAACTCCCAATCGGTGATGGGGCAGTTGTGGAGAGAGTGGAGAGTTTCCCATACCTGGGCAGTGTGCTTATGACCAGCTCCAGTTTAACAGCAGAGGTTTCACTCCGAATCAGTCGAGCGACAATATCTTTTCATCGGTTGCGTAATGCTGTGTGGAAGCTACCTGGTCTGTCGATCCGCACTAAGCTTCAGGTCTTCTCGGCCACGGTCATTCCCTCCCTTCTCTACGCTTGTGAAACGTGGACCCCCCTAATGGAACATCTTCGCCGGTTAGAAACATTTAGGCTGGCCTGCCTACGATCCATCCTGGGTTTAACCAGACTGGATTGTGTGAGGAGCTCACAAATCCTCGAAAGATCTGGAAAAAGTCCCATCGGTGAGCTCCTCCGGCAGGCAAGGCTGCGTTGGCTGGGTCATGTAGCCCGCATGCCCAGCCACCGCATGCCGAAACAGCTTTTGTTCGGCCGGATTGAGGGGGCTAAGAGGGCGCGGCACGGGCTAGAGAAGAGATGGAGTGACGTGGTACAGGAGGACGTGGAGCTGAGTGGACTTGCCGATGACCGGTACCAGCGGTGTCAAGATCGGCCTCTGTGGAGGAGGCTCGTGAAGGACGCTACTGGGCAGTTGGAGGCAGTCGCCCTCCAACAACAACGGAGGGCGGAGGAGCGACGCTCACAACAACGAGCGGAGCGCCGGGTGGCTAAAGCACAGCAGGTTGGCACAGTAGGGGGCACAGGTGGTGCATCAGCCAGTCATCTCAGTCAGTCGACCCGTGGCACCTGGGTCTGCCCCGTGACCTCCTGCCAGCGGGCGTTCGACACTTCACGTGGCCTCAGGGTGCACATAGCCTGGCACAAGCGTCGTGGTGACGTCTCCGCCACTTAGTGGCGAATGGCGGTTGTTGTTGTGTTGTTTTTGTGTGTCTGCGTGTGTGTGTCTGAGTGTGTGTGTGTGCGTGTGTGCGTGTCTGAGTGTGTCTGCGTGTGTCTGCGTGTGTCTGCGCGTGTGTGTCTGCGCGTGTGTGTCTGCGCGTGTGTGTCTGCGTGTGTGTGTCTGCGCGTGTGTCTGTGTGTGTGTGTGTGTCTGTGTGGCGTACCTGAGGCACCCGGTGGTGTTGCGGAAGGCGTTGGAGGGCGAGGTTGGCGAGGGCTGCGAGGCGCCGGGGCTGGCGTGCCAGCCGCTCTCAGGCCCGACCACACGCTCCACCAGCACGCCCAGACCACGCTCCACCAGCGCCTTCTTCAGCGGCTCGTGGGACGACAGGTTCCAGAGCGTGCCTGGGTGGGGGTCACCACTGAGGTCATCACCGAGGTCATCTCTGGGGTCACCACTGAGGTCACCACCGGGGTCACCACCGGGGTCACCTCTGGGGTCACCACCGGGGTCACCACGACAGGTTCCAGAGCGTGCCTGGGTGGGGGTCACCACCGAGGTCATCACTGAGGTCATCTCTGGGGTCACCACCGGGGTCACCTCTGGGGTCACCACCGGGGTCACCACTGAGGTCACCACCGGGGTCACCACCGGGGTCACCTCTGGGGTCACCTCTGGGGTCATCACGACAGGTTCCAGAGCGTGCCTGGGTGGGGGTCACCACTGAGGTCATCACTGAGGTCACCACCGGGGGTCACCACCGGGGTCACCACCGGGGTCACCTCTGGGGTCACCTCTGGGGTCATCACGACAGGTTCCAGAGCGTGCCTGGGTGGGGGTCACCACTGAGGTCATCACTGAGGTCACCACCGAGGTCATCTCTGGGGTCATCACTGGGGTCATCACTGGGGTCACCACCGGGGTCACCACCGGGGTCACCTCTGGGGTCACCACCGGGGTCATCACTGAGGTCACCTCTGGGGTCACCACGACAGGTTCCAGAGCGTCCCTGGGTGGGGGTCACCACTGAGGTCATCACTGAGGTCACCACCGGGGTCATCACCGAGGTCATCTCTGGGGTCACCACCGTGGTCACCTCTGGGGTCACCTCTGGGGTCACCACGACAGGTTCCAGAGCGTGCCTGGGTGGGGGTCACCACTGAGGTCATCACTGAGGTCACCACTGAGGTCACCTCTGGGGTCACCACCGGGGGTCACCACCGGGGTCACCACCGGGGTCACCACCGGGGTCACCACCGGGGTCACCACGACAGGTTCCAGAGCGTCCCTGGGTGGGGGTCATCACTGAGGTCACCTCTGGGGTCACCACCGGGGGTCACCACCGGGATCACCTCTGGGGTCACCACCGGGGTCACCTCTGGGGTCACCACCGGGGTCATCAATGGGGTCATCACCGAGGTCATCACTGAGGTCATCACTGGGGTCACCACCGGGGTCATCACTGGGGTCATCACTGAGGTCACCTCTGGGGTCACCACGACAGGTTCCAGAGCATCCCTGGGTGGGGGTCACCACTGAGGTCATCACTGAGGTCATCACTGAGGTCATCACTGGGGTCATCACTGGGGTCACCACCGGGGTCATCACTGGGGTCATCACTGAGGTCATCTCTGGGGTCACCACGACAGGTTCCAGAGCATCCCTGGGGGTGGTGACCTGGTGGTGACCTGGTCGTGACCTGGTGGTGACCTGGTCGTGAACTAGTCGTGACCTGCTGGTGACCTGCTGGTGACCTGGTCGTGACCTGGTGGTGACCTGCTGGTGACCTGGTCGTGACCTGGTGGTGACCTGGTCGTGAACTAGTCGTGACCTGCTGGTGACCTGCTGGTGACCTGCTAGTGACCTGCTGGTGACCTGGTCGTGACCTGGTCGTGACCTGCTGGTGACCTGCTGGTGACCTGGCGGTGAGTGCAGCAGGCTAATGAGACCGGTGGCGAGCACGGGGGGTGAGTGAGTGGTGAGTGGTGGTGAGCGGTGAGCGAGTGGTGGTGGTGAGCGAGTGGTGGTGGTGAGTGGTGGTGGTGAGTGATGGTGGTGAGCGACTGGTGGTGGTGAGTGGTGGTGATGAGTGGTGGTGGCGAGTGGTGGTGGTGAGTGAAGGGTGAGCGAGTGGTGGTGGTGGTGAGTGAGTGGTGAGTGGTGAGCGAGTGGTGGTGGTGAGTGATGGTGGTGAGCGAGTGGTGGTGGTGAGTGATGGTGGTGGTGGTGAGTGGTGGCGGTGAGCGAGTGGTGGTGAGCGGTGGTGAGCGAGGGGTGAGTGGTACCGGTGACCACGTCCACGATGGCCGGGTTGTGTGTGCGCTGCAGCAGGCCGATGAGGGCCGTGATGATGGTGAGTGGTGGTGGTGGTGGTGAGTGGTGGTGGTGAGTGGTGGTGAGTGAGTGGTGAGTGAGTGGTGAGCGGTACCGGTGACCACGTCCACGATGGCCGGGTTGTGTGTGCGCTGCAGCAGGCCGATGAGGGCCGTGATGATGGTGAGTGGTGGTGGTGGTGGTGAGCGAGTGGTGGTGAGTGGTGGTGAGTGGTGGTGAGTGGTGGTGGTGAGTGGTACCGGTGACCACGTCCACGATGGCCGGGTTGTGTGTGCGCTGCAGCAGGCCGATGAGGGCCGTGATGATGGTGAGTGGTGGTGGTGAGTGAGTGGTGAGTGAGTGGTGGTGGTGAGTGGTGGTGAGTGAGTGGTGAGTGGTGGTGAGTGGTGGTGGTGAGTGGTGGTGAGTGAGTGGTGAGTGGTACCGGTGACCACGTCCACGATGGCCGGGTTGTGTGTGCGCTGCAGCAGGCCGATGAGGGCCGTGATGATGGTGAGTGGTGGTGGTGAGTGGTGGTGGTGAGTGATGGTGGTGAGCGAGTGGTGGTGGTGAGTGGTGGTGGTGAGTGGTACCGGTGACCACGTCCACGATGGCCGGGTTGTGTGTGCGCTGCAGCAGGCCGATGAGGGCCGTGATGATGGTGAGTGGTGGTGGTGAGTGGTGGTGGTGAGCGAGTGGTGGTGGTGGTGAGTGGTGGTGGTGAGTGGTGGTGAGTGAGTGGTGGTGGTGAGTGGTGGTGGTGAGTGGTGGTGGTGAGTGGTGGTGAGTGAGTGGTGAGTGGTACCGGTGACCACGTCCACGATGGCCGGGTTGTGTGTGCGCTGCAGCAGGCCGATGAGGGCCGTGATGATGGTGAGTGAGTGGTGAGTGGTGGTGGTGAGTGAAGGGTGAGCGAGTGGTGGTGGTGAGTGATGGTGGTGGTGGTGGTGGTGAGTGGTGGTGGTGAGTGGTGGTGGTGAGCGAGTGGTGGTGGTGAGTGGTGGTGGTGGTGAGTGGTACCGGTGACCACGTCCACGATGGCCGGGTTGTGTGTGCGCTGCAGCAGGCCGATGAGGGCCGTGATCCCGTCGGAGTCTTTCACCGCCAGCTTGTTCTGGACGTCGCGCCCGTAGCTGATGTTCCGCAGGGCCCCACACGCACTGCGCTGCACCTGGGTGGCGGGGACGGGGGCACGGGGGGGTTAGGACACACACACAGACACACACACACACACACAGCCACACACACACACACACAGACACACACACACACACAGACAGCCACACACAGACACACACACAGCCACAACCACAACCACACAGCCACACACAGACACACAGCCACACACACACACAGACACACACACACAGACACACAGCCACACACACACACACAGCCATACACACACAGAGACACACACAGACATAACCACACAGCCACGCACACAGACACGCACACAGAGACACACGTGGCGTGACCCTCATGAACCCCCCTAACCCCACCTTACCCACCCCCCCCACCACAGCCCTCACAACCCCTACCACCACCCCCACCACCACCCCCACCCCCACCCCCACCACCACCACCCCCACCACCACCCCCACCCCCCACCACCCCCCCCACCACAGCCCTCACAACCCCTACCACCACCCCCACCACCACCCCCACCCCCCACCACCACCCTCACCACCACCACCCTCACCACCCCCACCCTCACCCCCCCCACCCCCACCACCCGACCCACCACCACCCCCCCCCACACCACCCCCACCACCCCCCCCCCGCACCACCCCCCCACCCCCCCCACCACCACCACCCACCCCACCTCTTCGTCGACGTCGTCCAGCAGAGCCACGAGGGCCCTCACTCCGCGGGCCTCCCGCACGGCGGCCTTGGCGCGCTCGTTCTCGTAGCAGGCGTGCTGCAGGTAAGCCGCCGCGTTGGCCCTCACGGCCGAGGCCACGTCGCCCCGCAGCAGGGCCACCACCTCGCCCGCCCCGGGCTGCGGCTGGGCGTAGCCCCCGCCAGAGGCGTAGCCCAGGCGGTCGAGGCTGGCCAGGCTGCCGTGTTCGGAGCGGCCCGGCGGAGGGTAGAACGGGCGGCCTTGGTCGCCCAGGGAGTTGAGCTCGTCACATGACCTGGGGCGATGGTGGAGGTGGAGGTGGAGGTGGGGATGGGGGTGGAGGTGGAGTAGGGGCGAGTGTGTAATGGAGCATCTTCGCCGGTTAGAAACATTCAGGCTGGCCCTGCCTACGATCCATCCTGGGTTTAACCAGACTGGATTGTGTGAGGAGCTCACAAATCCTTGAAAGATCTGGGCAGGGTCCCATCGGTGAGCTCCTCCAGCAGGCAAGGCTGCGTTGGCTGGGTCACGTAGCCCGCATGCCCAGCCACCGCATGCCGAAACAGCTTTTGTTCGGCCGGATCGAGGGGGCTAAGCGGGCGCGGCACGGGCTAGAGAAGAGATGGAGTGATGTGGTACAGGAGGACGTGGAGCTGAGTGGACTTGCCGATGACTGGTACCAGCGGTGTCAAGATCGGCCTCTGTGGAGGAGGCTCGTGAAGGATGCTACTGGGCAGTTGGAGGCAGTCGCCCTCCAACAACAACGGAGGGCGGAGGAGCGACGCTCACAACAACGAGCGGAGCGCCGGGTGGCTAAAGCACAGCAGGTTGGCACAGTAGGGGGCACAGGTGGTGCATCAGCCAGTCATCTCAGTCAGTCGACCCGTGGCACTTGGGTCTGCCCCGTGACCTCCTGCCCGCGGGCGTTCGACACTTCACGTGGCCTCAAGGTGCACATGGCCTGGCACAAGCGTCGTGGTGATGTCACCGCCACTTAAAGGCGAATGGCGCTTGTTGTTGTTGTTGTGTGTAGTGAGTGAGTAGTGAGTGTGTAGTGAGTGTGTAGTGAGTGAGTGTGAGAGTGAGTGTGAGAGTGAGTGAGAGTGAGTGTGTGAGAGTGAGTGTGAGTGAGAATGAGTGTGTGAGAGTGATTGAGAGTGAGTGTGTGAGAGTGATTGTGTGTGTGTGAGAGTGAGTAGTGTGTGAGAGTGAGTGAGTGAGTGAGAGTGAGTGTGTGAGAGTGTGTGAGTGTGTAGTGTGTGAGAGTGAGTGTGTGAGAGTGAGTAGTGTGTGAGTAGTGTGTGTGAGTGTGTGAGTCATGTGAGTGTGTGAGAGTGTGTGAGTGTGTAGTGTGTGAGAGTGAGCGTGTGAGAGTGAGTGTTAGAGTGAGTAGTGTGTGAGTAGTGTGTGTGAGTGAGTGTGTGAGTCGTGTGAGTGAGTGAGTGTGAGTAGTGTGTGTGCAGTGAGTGAGTGTGTGAGTCGAGTGAGTGAGTGTGTAGTGCGTGTGAGAGTGTGTGTGAGTATGTGTGTGTGAGAGTGAGTAGTGTGTGAGTAGTGTGTGTGCAGTGAGTGAGTGTGTGAGTAGTGTGAGTGTGTGTGACAGTGAGTGTGTGAGAGTGAGTGTGTGAGAGTGAGTGTGTGAGAGTGAGTGTGAGTGAGAGTGAGTGTGTGAGAGTGATTGAGAGTGAGTGTGTGAGAGTGTGTGTGAGAGTGAGTGTGTGAGAGTGTGTGAGTGTGAGTAGTGTGTGTGTGTGAGAGTGAGTAGTGTGTGTGAGTAGTGTGTGTGAGTGTGTGTGAGTGTGTGAGTAGTGTGTGTGAGTGTGTGTGAGTGTGTGTGTGAGTGTGTGAGTAGTGTGTGTGAGTAGTGTGTGTGAGTAGTGTGTGTGAGTAGTGTGTGTGAGTGGTGTGTGTGAGTAGTGTGTGTGAGTGTGTGTGTGAGAGTGTGTGTGAGAGTGTGTGTGAGAGTGTGTGTGAGTGTGTGTGTGTAAGTGAGTGTGAGTGTGTGTGTGCAGTGAGTGTGAGTAGTGTGTGTGCAGTGAGTGAGTGTGTGAGTGAGTAGTGTGAATGAGTGTGTAGTGCGTGTGAGTAGTGTGTGTGTGTGTGAGAGTGAGTAGTGAGTGTGTGAGAGTGAGTAGTGTGTGTGTGTGTAGTGCGTGTGAGTAGCGAGTGTGCTAGTAGTGTGTGTGAGTGTGTGTGTGAGAGTGTGTGTGAAAGTGTGTGAGTGAGTGTGAGTCGTGAGTGTGTGTAGTGCGTGTGAGTAGTGAGTGTGCTAGTAGTGTGTGTGAGTGTGTGTGTGAGTGTGTGTGAGAGTGTGTGTGAGAGTGTGAGTGAGAGTGTGAGTGTGTGTAGTGCGTGTGAGTAGTGAGTGTGCTAGTAGTGTGTGTGAGTGTGTGTGTGTGAGAGTGTGTGTGAGAGTGTGTGTGAGAGTGTGAGTGTGTGTCGTGAGTGTGTGTAGTGCGTGTGAGTAGCGAGTGTGCTAGGAGTGTGTACTGAGTGTGTGTGTGTGAGAGTGTGTGTGAGAGTGTGAGTGTGTGTCGTGAGTGTGTGTAGTGAGTGTGAGTAGCGAGTGTGCTAGGAGTGTGTGTGTGTGTGAGAGTGTGTGTGAGAGTGAGTGAGTGTGAGTGTGTGTCGTGAGTGTGTGTAGTGAGTGAGTAGCGAGTGTGCTAGGAGTGTGTACTGAGTGTGTGTGTGAGTGTGTGTGTGAATAGTGAGTGTGTGAGAGTGAGTGTGTGAGTGTGTGTGTGAGAGTGAGTGAGTGGAGTGTGAGTCGTGAGTGTGTGTAGTGAGTGTGAGTAGCGAGTGTGCTAGTAGTGTGTACTGAGTGTGTGTGAGAGTGTGTGTGAAAGTGTGTGAGTGAGTGTGAGTCGTGAGTGTGTGTAATGAGTGAGTAGCGAGTGTGCTAGTAGTGTGTGTGAGTGTGTGTGAGAGTGTGTGTGAGAGTGTGTGAGTGAGTGTGAGTGGGTGTAGTGAGTGTGTGTCGTGAGTGTGAGTAGTGTGAGTGTGTGTAGTGCGTGTGAGTAGTGAGTGTGTGAGAGTGTGTGTGTGAGAGTGAGTGTGTGAGAGTGAGTAGTGAGTGTGTGTAGTGCGTGTGAGTAGCGAGTGTGCTAGGAGTGTGTACTGAGTGTGTGTGTGAGTGTGTGTGTGCTAGGAGTGTGTACTGAGTGTGTGTGTGAGTGTGTGTCGTGAGTGTGTGTAGTGAGTGAGTAGCGAGTGTGAGTAGCGAGTGTGCTAGGAGTGTGTACTGAGTGTGAGTGTGTGTCGTGAGTGTGTGTAGTGAGTGTGAGTAGTGAGTGTGCTAGTAGTGTGTGTGAGTGTGTGTGAGAGTGTGTGAGTGAGTGTGAGTCGTGAGTGTGTGTAGTGAGTGTGAGTAGCGAGTGTGCTAGGAGTGTGTGTGAGGGTGTGTGAGAGTGTGTGAAAGTGTGTGTGAAAGTGTGTGAGTGAGTGTGAGTCGTGAGTGTGTGTAGTGAGTGTGAGTAGCGAGTGTGTGTAGTGAGTGAGTAGCGAGTGTGCTAGGAGTGTGTACTGAGTGTGTGTGAGAGTGTGTGTGAAAGTGTGTGAGTGAGTGTGAGTCGTGAGTGTGTGTGTGAGTGTGTGTAGTGAGTGCGAGTAGCGAGTGTGCTAGGAGTGTGTACTGAGTGTGTGTGTGAGTGTGTGTGTGAGTAGTGAGTGTGTGAGAGTGAGTGTGTGAGTGTGTGTGTGAGAGTGAGTGAGTGGAGTGTGTGTCGTGAGTGTGAGTAGCGAGTGTGCTAGGAGTGTGTACTGAGTGTGAGTGTGTGTCGTGAGTGTGTGTAGTGAGTGAGTAGCGAGTGTGCTAGTAGTGTGTGTGAGTGTGTGTGTGAGAGTGTGTGTGAGAGTGTGTGAGTGAGTGTGAGTAGTGTGTGTGAGTGTGTGTCGTGAGTGTGTGTAGTGCGTGTGAGTAGCGAGTGTGCTAGGAGTGTGTACTGAGTGTGTGTGTGAGTGTGTGTGTGCTAGGAGTGTGTACTGAGTGTGTGTGAGAGTGTGTGAGTAGTGAGTGTGAGTAGCGAGTGTGAGTAGCGAGTGTGCTAGGAGTGTGTACTGAGTGTGAGTAGTGTGTGTGAGTGTGAGTAGCGAGTGTGCTAGGAGTGTGTACTGAGTGTGTGTGAGAGTGTGTGAGTAGTGAGTGTGTGTAGTGCGTGTGAGTAGCGAGTGTGAGTGTGTGTGTGAGTAGTGTGAGTGAGTGTGTGTGAGTGTGAGAGAGTGAGTAGTGAGTGTGAGTCGTGAGTGTGTGTAGTGCGTGTGAGTAGCGAGTGTGCTAGGAGTGTGTACTGAGTGTGAGTGTGTGTGTGAGTAGTGAGTGTGTGAGAGTGTGTGTGAGAGTGTGAGTGTGTGTAGTGAGTGTGAGTAGTGAGTGTGCTAGGAGTGTGCTAGGAGTGTGCTAGGAGTGTGCGCGAGGTCCCCACCGGCGCATGGCTGGGCCCGCCATGTCCCCACCACCTCCTCCTCCTCCTCCTCCTGCTCCTGCTCCTGCTGCTGCGTAACGCCTCTGGTGCTCTCCCAAGCGCCGTTCGTCCAGCGTGGCGTAGCCTGGGGGGCCGAAGCCGGCACCCCCGGGGGGAGCCGCCCGCACGTAAACATCCACCCCCCCCCTGCCATAGTCTAAACAACAACAACAACAACACCACCACCGTGTAAGCATCAGCAACTACATCAACCAACACCACGTAAACATCAACCACATCAGCCATAACTACGTAAACAACAACAACAACCATCAAGTAAACATCCACCCCTCCCCTGACGTAGTCTAAACAACAACAACAACACCACCGTGTAAGCATCAGCAACTACATCAACCACCACCACCACCACCACCACGTAAACATCAACCACATCAGCCATAACTACGTAAACAACAACAACCATCAAGAAACATCCACCCCTCCCCTGTCGTAGTCTAAACAACAACAACAACACCACCACCGTGTAAGCATCAGCAACTACATCAACCACCACCACCACCACGTAAACATCAACCACATCAGCCATAACTACCTAAACAACAACAACAACCATCAATTAAACATCCACCCCTCCCCTGCCATAGTCTAAACAACAACAACAACAACACCACCACCACCGTGTAAGCATCAGCAACTACATCAACCACCACCACCACGTAAACATCAACCACATCAGCCATAACTACGTACACAACAACAACAATCAAGTAAACATCCACCCCTCCCCTGCCGTAGTCTAAACAACAACAACAACATCACCGTGTAAGCATCAGCAACTACATCAACCACCACCACCACCACCACGTAAACATCAACCACATCAGCCATAACTACGTAAACAACAACAACAACCATCAAGTAAACATCCACCCCTCCCCTGCCATAGTCTAAACAACAACAACAACACCACCACCGTGTAAGCATCAGCAACTACATCAACCACCACCACCACCACGTAAACATCAACCACATCAGCCTAAACTACGTAAACAACAACAACAACCATCAAGTAAACATCCACCCCTCCCCTGCCGTAGTCTAAACAACAACAACACCACCACCGTGTAAGCATCAGCAACTACATCAACCACCACCACCACCACGTAAACATCAACCACATCAGACATAACTACGTAAATAACAACAACAACCATCAAGTAAACATCCACCCCTCCCCCTGCCGTAGTCTAAACAACAACAACAACACCACCACCGTGTAAGCATCAGCAACTACATCAACCACCACCACCACCACGTAAACATCAACCACATCAGCCATAACTACGTACACAACAACAACAACCATCAAGTAAACATCCACCCCTCCCCTGCCATAGTCTAAACAACAACAACAACACCACCGTGTAAGCATCAGCAACTACCTCAACCACCACCACCACCACGTAAACATCAACCACATCAGCCATAACTACCTAAACAACAACAACAACAACCATCAAGTAAACATCCCCCCTCCCCCCTGACGTAGTCTAAACAACAACAACAACACCACCACCGTGTAAGCATCAGCAACTACATCAACCACCACCACGTAAACATCAACCACATCAGCCATAACTACGTAAACAACAACAACAACCATCAAGTAAACATCCACCCCTCCCCTGCCATAGTCTAAACAACAACAACAACATCACCGTGTAAGCATCAGCAACTACATCAACCACCACCACCACCACCACGTAAACATCAACCACATCAGCCATAACTACGTAAACAACAACAACATCAAGTAAACATCCCCCCTCCCCTGACGTAGTCTAAACAACAACAACAACACCACCACCGTGTAAGCATCAGCAACTACATCAACCACCACCACCACCACCACGTAAACATCAACCACATCAGCCATAACTACGTAAACAACAACAACAACCATCAAGTAAACATCCACCCCTCCCCTGCCATAGTCTAAACAACAACAACAACAACACCACCACCGTGTAAGCATCAGCAACTACATCAACCACCACCACCACCACGTAAACATCAACCACATCAGACATAACTACGTAAACAACAACAACAACCATCAAGTAAACATCCACCCCTCCCCTGCCATAGTCTAAACAACAACACCACCACCGTGTAAGCATCAGCAACTACAACCACCACCACCACCACCACGTAAACATCAACCACATCAGCCATAACTACGTAAACAACAACAACAACAACCATCAAGTAAACATCCACCCTCCCCTGCCGTAAACAACAACAACTAAACATCAACCACATCAACCACCACGTAAATAACAACAACAACCAACACCACCACATAAATATCAACCATCACCACGTAAACAACAACACCACCACCACACAAACATCATCAACCATCACCATGTATACATCAACAACACTACCACAAACATCATCAACCATCACCACGTAAACAACAACAACATTACCACATAAACATCATCAACCATCACCATGTATACATCAACAACACTACCACACAAACATCATCAACCATCACCACGTAAACAACAACAACAACACTACCACAAACATCATCAACCATCACCACGTAAACAACAACACTACCACACAAACATCATCAACCATCACCACGTAAACAACAACAACACTACCACACAAACATCATCAACCATCACCATGTATACATCAACAACATCACCACGTAAAGACAACACAGGCTACACGAAAGATCTATGTCTTTGTGTGTGTACCCGTGTATGTGTACCCGTGTGTGTGTGTACCCGTGTGTGTGCGTGTGTGTGCGTGTGTGTACCCGTGTGTGTGCGTGTGTGTGCGTGTGTGTACCCGTGTGTGTGTGTGTGTAGTCCGGCAAAACAACCCCCTACCTCCTCGCGGTGCCGGACGGGCAACTCTGTCGTGGACAGCGCTGTGGGGGGAGATCCAATTTTGATTGGCTCCTCCCCTCATGGCATATGTGTCCACCACAGGGGCAAAACGGGGGCTCTGGACGGGTGCGAGGGGCTGGTAACCCCTCCACCTTCAATTAATTACCACGAAACTACGAATTAAACTGAAATATGTAACAACTAAGCTTGTGCCGGAGGCCCCGGGGGGCCAGGCGTCTATGACGTCTCCTGGCCAAACCCCAATTGGCGGAGCCAGGAGATTGAATACCTACCCTCGGGGCTACTCCAGAAACAACGAAAAGCCACTACGGTTGGCCACGTGGAATGTTCGAACGCTCACTGCAGAGGAGAGGCTGCCACTCCTCTGTCGGGAGCTGGACCGGTACCGCCTGGATCTATGCAGCATTCAGGAGGTCCGGTGGACCGGCTCTGGCTCCTGCCACCATGAGGGGTGGACAGTCCTCTACTCGGGGCAGCAGACTGCCAAACAACAGGGTGTGGGTCTTCTTTTGAACAAAAGAATGAAGGGGGCGTGGGAGCGTGGCGGTGAGGTGTGGGAAGCTGTAAGCCCCAGGCTACTTTGGGCTCACCTTCCCATCAACCGGAGGCGAGGAATGGTGGTCGTGGTTACTTATGCCCCCACCGAAGATGAACATCCGTGGAGGGATGCAGGCAAAGCCGATGAGTCAGATGCCTTCTATGACCTCCTGTCACAGGTGCTGGCTAAAGTGGCCCCTCGGGATAGAGTCATCATGTTGGGTGACTTCAATGCCCGAGTTGGTCATGATACTGGCACCTGGTCTGGAGTGATTGGAGGGCATGGGCCAGATCAGCTCAATAACAACGGTAGGAGGCTGCTAGATTTTTGTGCAGCCCATGGGCTTGTAATTACCAACACGCTGTTCCGGCATCGGCGCATCCACACAACATCATGGATGCATGCCGGGTCCAAGCAAGAACATCTGCTGGACTACATAGTGACGGACCAGCGAATGCGAGCCCATGTCCTTGACACCAGGACCTACCGTGGAGCTGATCTGCCCTCTGACCATCGACTAGTCATCTGTAAGATGCGCCTGCCATTCTTCCACTCCGGTGGTGGGTGTACACCCAGGACCCCATTCCAACCTAAAGTGGCCTGGTCTCAGTTATCTGATGAAAGTTGCAAGCGAGAATTTCATCATCGCTTGCGGCTGGGATTGGCATCGTCCCCGACTCCTCCTGATGTCGAGGGTAAATGGGCGAGGTTTAGGACTGTGACTCATGCAGCTGCAATGGCTGCTTTGGGTACGTGGTCCAGACCTCCCCAGACACCCTGGATGACAGAGGAGTTGTTCACGATGGTTGAGAAAAAGCGACAGGCCCACTGTCATCGGCTACAGAATCCCACGTCAGAGAATGAGGAGGCTTACAGCAGCCTTCGCTCGGAGGTTCGGAGAGCCGTGAGGCGCTGCAAGGATGGGTGGTGGTCGCGGGTTGCTGAGGAGATGGAGTCTGCCTCAGTGGCCCGTGATCACAAATCTCTATTTAACTCCATCAAAAAAGTAACCTGCAGCGCCACACCTATTACCATCATTAGGGGAAAAAACGGTGATCCGATTTCCGACCCCCAGGAACAGGTTCGCAGATTTGCTGAGCATTTCTGTGAGGTCCTGGGGGAGGGAAAATCCCTCAGCCAGGAAAACATCGTGGCACAAAGTGAGGATGACCCTGCTGAGGCTGCGGTGCCTCAAATATTGGATGAAGTCACCCCCTGTGAGTGGCTGGCTGAGGTGCCATCTGCTGAGGAAGTATTGAAGGCGATCCGGAGTCTGAGACCAGGAAAGGCAGCGGGCAGAGATGATCTCCCAAGCGAAATGCTGAGGGAGGGTGGCGTTTGTGCACAGACTGCCCTATATGACATCATAACAACAGTCTGGACCACTGGACAGGTTCCGCAGGATTGGAAGGATGCCCTGGTGGTCCCCCTCTTTAAGAAGGGGGACCGCACAGACTGTAACAACTACAGGGGCATCTCACTCCTCAGTGTGCCGGGAAAAGGATCCTGGCAAGGATTATTCAAGTATCGCCTTGCCAGGCACGCTGAGGAGAGGCTTGCGGAGCCCCAATGCGGTTTCAGGAAAGGTCCTGCACAGATGCCATATTTTCTGTCCGTCTGCTACAGCAGAGGTGTAGGGAATTCCAACAAGACCTACATCTCTGCTTTATTGACCTGGTCAAGGCCTATGATACCATCAGTAGGCCTGGGCTCTGGGTTGTTTTCGTGCTTTTGGAGTACCTGACCCTCTGCTCACGATCATTAAGGACCTTCATGATGGTGAGCGGGCCCGGGTAAAACTACGTGGCCGGGAGTCAGAGCCATTCCCTGTACACCTTGGGGTGCGACAGGGATGTCCTCTGGCTCCCACATTATTTAACATCTATTTTGACCACGTAGTTCGTGAAGCCTTCAATAGCTGTACCGGGGGAATCTCCATTTGGTACAGATATAATGGGAGGCTGATCGATGGCCGGGTGCGGTCAAGAGATGGCTCCCAATTGCTCAACCATGTTATGTATGCGATGATTTGGTAATAGCTGCTCATTCAGAGGAGGAGTTGGAGATGCTGCTGCTGAGACTGGAGCGTGCCACTAAGAGATGGGGCCTTACCATCAGCCCCACCAAAACTAAGCACCCGCCTGGGCATTTTGTACCATCGGACACTCCACCCCCACAACTCCCAATCGGTGATGGGGCAATTGTGGAGAGAGTGGAGAGCTTCCCATACCTGGGCAGTGTGCTTATGGCCGGCTCCAGTTTAACAGCAGAGGTCTCACTCCGAATCAGTCGAGCGGCAATATCTTTTCATCGGTTGCGTAACACTGTGTGGAAGCTACCTGGTCTGTCGCTCCGCACTAAGCTTCAGGTCTTCTCGGCCACGGTCATTCCCTCCCTTCTCTACGCTTGCGAAACGTGGACCCCCCTAATGGAACATCTTCGCCGGTTAGAAACATTTAGGCTGGCCTGCCTACGATCCATCCTGGGTTTAACCAGACTGGATTGTGTGAGGAGCTCACAAATCCTTGAAAGATCTGGGCAGGGTCCCATCGGTGAGCTCCTCCGGCAGGCAAGGCTGCGATGGCTGGGTCATGTAGCCCGCATGCCCAACCACCGCATGCCGAAACAGCTTTTGTTTGGCCGGATTGAGGGGGCTAAGCGGGCGCGGCACGGGCTAGAGAAGAGATGGAGTGATGTGGTACAGGAGGACTTGGAGCTGAGTGGACTTGCCCATGACTGGTACCAGCGGTGTCAAGATCGGCCTCTGTGGAGGAGGCTCGTGAAGGATGCTACTGGGCAGTTGGAGGCAGTCGCCCTCCAACAACAACGGAGGGCGGAGGAACGACGCTCACAACAACGAGCGGAGCGCCGGGTGGCTAAAGCACAGCAGGTTGGCACAGTAGGGGGCACAGGTGGTGCATCAGCCAGTCATCTCAGTCAGTCGACCCGTGGCACCTGGGTCTGCCCCGTGACCTCCTGCCAGCGGGCGTTCGACACTTCACGTGGCCTCAGGGTGCACATAGCCTGGCACAAGCGTCGTGGTGACGTCACCGCCACTTAGTGGCGAATGGCGGTTGTTGTTGTTGTTGTGTCTGTGTGTGTGTGTGAGTGTGTGTCTGTGTGTGTGTGTCTGTGTGTGTGTGTGTCTGTGTGTGTGTCTGTGTGTGTGCGTACCCCCCACCACCCCCCCCACGCCCCGCACACCGCTGTAGTCGTCCATGTGCGGTGCCGCTGGGAGGAAGCGAGGGTCCCGCTGAGCGCCTCTCGACAGGCTGTAGTAGGCCCGGTCCCCGTCACCGCCACCACCACCGCCACCGCCACCGCCGCCACCGCGACGTGGATCCACGGTGCGGCTGCCAACGGCGGCGAGGTGGGCCGAGCCGTTGCCGTTGGAGCCGGCCCCAACGTAGTAGAGGTCAGCGCCTCCACCGCCTCCGCCGCCACCACCACCAGCGATGATGGCGGCGTCCTCGTGCAGGAACGGGCGTCCACCAGACTGCCCGACAGAAATGTCAGAAGCGTTGTTAATGTTTTACTATTGTTAATAATAGCGGTGTTATTATTTTACTATTGTTAATAATAACGGTGTTATTATTTTACTATTGTTAATAATAACGGTGTTATTATTTTACTATTATTAATAATAACGGTGTTAATGTTTTACTATTATTAATAATAGCGGTGTTATTATTTTACTATTGTTAATAATAACGGTGTTATTATTTTACTATTGTTAATAATAACGGTGTTATTATTTTACTATTATTAATAATAACGGTGTTATTATATTACTATTATTAATAATAGCGGTGTTAATATTTTACTATTGTTAATAATAACGGTGTTATTATTTTACTATTGTTAATAATAACGGTGTTATTATTTTACTATTGTTAATAATAACGGTGTTATTATTTTACTATTATTAATAATAACGGTGTTAATGTTTTACTATTATTAATAATAGCGGTGTTATTATTTTACTATTATTAATAATAACGGTGTTAATGTTTTACTATTGTTAATAATAGCGGTGTTATTATTTTACTATTATTAATAATAACGGTGTTAATATTTTAGTATTATTAATAATAACGGTGTTATTATTTTACTATTATTAATAATAACGGTGTTATTTTTTAGTATTATTAATAATAGCGGTGTTATTATTTTACTATTATTAATAATAACGGTGTTATTATTTTACTATTAATAATAACGGTGTTATTATTTTACTATTGTTAATAATAACGGTGTTATTATTTTACTATTATTAATAACGGTGTTAATGTTTTACTATTATTAATAATAACGGTGTTATTATTTTAGCATTATTAATAATAACGGTGTTATTATTTTACTATTATTAATAATAGCGGTGTTATTATTTTACTATTATTAATAATAACGGTGTTATTATTTTAGTATTATTAATAATAGCGGTGTTATTATTTTACTATTATTAATAATAACGGTGTTATTATTTTACTATTATTAATAATAACGGTGTTAATATTTTACTATTATTAATAACGGTGTTATTATTTTACTATTATTAATAACGGTGTTATTATTTTAGTATTAATAATAACGGTGTTATTATTTTACTATTAATAATAACGGTGTTATTATTTTAGTATTGTTAATAATAACGGTGTTATTATTTTACTATTCTTAATAATAACGGTGTTATTATTTTACTATTGTGAATAACGGTGTTATTATTTTACTATTGTTAATAATAACGGTGTTAATATTTTAGTATTATTAATAAGTGTTATTATTTTAGTATTATTAATAATAACGGTGTTATTATTTTACTATTATTAATAATAACGGTGTTATTATTGTATTATTACTAATAACGGTGTTATTATTTTATTATTAATAATAACGGTGTTAGTATTTTAGTACTGGCAGCGATATTATTTAATTCTTATTAATAACGCTATTATTCTTATTATAAATAACGGTGTTATATTATTATTATAAAGAATGGTGTTATTATTTAATAATTATTAATACAATAATAACACGCCGTCTCACTCACATGGTCTCACCCACACTCTCACACATTCACACCCACACTCTCACATGGTCTCACCCACACTCTCACATGGTCTCACTCACCCTCACATGGTCTCACTCACTCTGACATGGTCTCACCCACACTCTCACATGGTCTCACCCACACTCTCACATGGTCTCACTCACCCTCACATGGTCTCACTCACTCTGACATGGTCTCATTCACTCTCACATGGTCTCACTCACACCCTCACATGGTCTCACTCACCCTCACTCACCCATTCACCCTCACTCACCCACTCACCCTCACTCACCCTCACCCACTCACCCTCACTCACCCACACTCACCCACACTCACCCACTCACTCACTCACTCACCCACTCACACACCCACACACACCCACACTCTCACTCACCCACATACCCACTCACTCACCCACACACTCACTCTCACCCTCACACCCACACTCACTCACACGCTCACTCTCTCCCACACCCACACCCACACGCTCTCCCACCCACCCACGCTCTCCCACCCACCCACGCTCTCCCACCCACCCACGCTCTCCCACCCACCCACGCTCTCCCACCCACACTCTCACTCTCACCCACACTCTCACTCTCACACCCACACTCTCTCTCCCACCCACACTCTCTCTCCCACCCACACTCTCTCTCTCACCCACACTCTCTCTCCCACCCACACTCTCTCTCACACCCACACTCTCTCTCACACCCACACTCTCTCTCACACCCACACTCTCTCTCCCACCCACACTCTCTCTCACACCCACACTCTCACTCCCACCCACACTCTCACTCCCACCCACACTCTCACTCCCACCCACACTCTCACTCCCACCCACACTCTCACTCCCACCCACACTCTCACTCCCACCCACACTCTCACTCCCACCCACACTCTCACTCCCACCCACACTCTCACTCCCACCCACACTCTCACTCCCACCCACACTCTCACTCCCACCCACACTCTCACTCCCACCCACACTCTCTCTCTCACCCACACTCTCACTCCCACCCACACTCTCACTCCCACCCACACTCTCACTCCCACCCACACTCTCACTCCCACCCACACTCTCACTCCCACCCACACTCTCACTCCCACCCACACTCTCACTCCCACCCACACTCTCACTCCCACCCACACTCTCACTCCCACCCACACTCTCTCTCACACCCACACTCTCTCTCACACCCACACTCTCTCTCCCACCCACACTCTCACTCCCACCCACACTCTCACTCCCACCCACACTCTCACTCTCACCCACACTCTCTCTCCCACCCACACTCTCTCTCACACCCACACTCTCTCTCACACCCACACTCTCTCTCACACCCACACTCTCTCTCCCACCCACACTCTCTCTCACACCCACACTCTCACTCCCACCCACACTCTCACTCCCACCCACACTCTCACTCCCACCCACACTCTCACTCCCACCCACACTCTCACTCCCACCCACACTCTCACTCCCACCCACACTCTCACTCCCACCCACACTCTCACTCTCACCCACACTCTCACTCCCACCCACACTCTCACTCCCACCCACACTCTCACTCCCACCCACACTCTCACTCCCACCCACACTCTCTCTCTCACCCACACTCTCACTGACACCCACACTCTCACTCCCACCCACACTCTCTCTCCCACCCACACTCTCACTCCCACCCACACTCTCACTCCCACCCACACTCTCACTCCCACCCACACTCTCACTCCCACCCACACTCTCACTCCCACCCACACTCTCACTCCCACCCTCACTCTCTCTCTCACCCACACTCTCACTCCCACCCACACTCTCACTCCCACCCACACTCTCACTCCCACCCACACTCTCACTCCCACCCACACTCTCACTCCCACCCACACTCTCACTCCCACCCACACTCTCACTCTCACCCACACTCTCTCTCTCACCCACACTCTCTCTCTCTCACCCACACTCTCTCTCTCTCACCCACACTCTCTCTCTCACCCACACTCTCTCTCTCACCCACACTCTCTCTCTCTCACCCACACCCTCTCTCACCCACACTCTCTCTCTCACCCACACACTCTCTCACCCACACTCTCTCTCTCACCCACACTCTCTCTCTCACCCACACTCACTCTCACCCACACACTCTCTCACCCACACACTCTCTCACCTACACACTCTCTCACCTACACACTCTCTCACCCACACTCTCTCTCTCACCCACACACTCTCTCACCCACACACTCTCTCACCCACACACTCTCTCACCCACACACTCTCTCACCCACACACTCTCTCACCTACACACTCTCTCACCCACACACTCTCTCACCCACACACTCTCTCACCCCCACACTCTCTCACCCACACACCCACACCACACTCACCCCCCCACTCTCACCCCCCCACTCTCACCCCCCCACTCTCACCCCCCCACTCTCACCCCCCCACTCTCACCCCCCCACTCTCACCCCCCCACTCTCACCCCCCCACTCTCACCCCCCCACTCTCACCCCCCCACTCTCACCCCCCCACTCTCACCCCCCCACTCTCACCCCCCCACTCTCACCCTGAGTGCGGTGCCATTGGCAGAGAAGTGCGGTGCTTGGCCAGAGTGGTAGGAGGCAAGGTCACTGTCCTGTGACAGAGAGAGCACAAGCAGCATGGGGGTGAGCGTGGGGGTGAGCGTGGGGGTGAGCGTGGGGGTGAGCGTGTGAGTCTAGGGGTGAGTCTAGGGGTGAGCGTGGGGGTGAGCGTGGGGGTGAGCGTGGGGGTGAGCGTGGGGGTGAGCGTGGGGGTGAGCGTGTGAGCGTGGGGGTGAGCGTGTGAGCGTGGGGGTGAGCGTGTGAGCGTAGGGGTGAGCGTGTGAGTCTAGGAGTGTGCGTGCGAGTCTAGGGGTGAGCGTGCGAGTGTAGGGGTGAGCGTGTGAGTCTAGGGGTGAGCGTGTGAGTCTAGGGGTGAGCGTGAGTCTAGGGGTGAGCGTGTGAGTGTAGGGGTGAGTGTAGGGGTGAGCGTGTGAGTCTAGGGGTGAGCGTGTGAGTCTAGGGGTGAGTGTAGGGGTGAGCGTGTGAGTGTAGGGGTGAGCGTGTGGGTGAGCGTAGGGGTGAGCGTGTGGGCAAGTGTGCGTGTAGGTGAGCGTGTGAGCGAGTGTAGGGGTGAGTGAGTGTAGGGGTGAGTGAGTGTAGGGGTGAGTGAGTGTAGGGGTGAGCGAGTGTATGGTTGAGTGAGTGTAGGGGTGAGTGAGTGTAGGGGGTGAGTGAGCGAGCGTAGGGGTGATTGAGTGTAGGGGGTGAGTGAGCGAGTGTAGGGGTGAGCAAGTGTATGGGTGAGCGAGTGTAGGGGTGAGCGAGTGTAGGGGTGAGCGAGTGTAGGGGTGAGTGAGTGTAGGGGTGAGCGAGTGTAGGGGTGAGCGAGTGTAGGGGTGAGCGAGTGTAGGGGTGAGCGAGTGTAGGGGTGAGCGAGTGTAGGGGTGAGCGAGTGGTAGGGGCGAGCAAGTGTAGGGGCGAGCAAGTGTAGGGGCGAGCGAGTGTAGGGGCGAGCGAGTGTAGGGGTGAGTGTAGGGGTGAGTGTATGGGTGAGTGAGTGTAGGGGTGAGTGAGTGTAGGGGTGAGTGAGTATAGGGGTGAGTGAGTGTAGGGGTGAGTGAGTGTAGGGGTGAGTGAGTGTAGGGGTGAGCGTATGGGTGAGTGTATGGGTGAGCGAGTGTAGGGGTGAGTGAGTGTAGGGGCGAGTGAGTGTATGGGTGAGTGAGTGTAGGGGTGAGTGAGTGTAGGGGTGAGTGTAGGGGCGAGCAAGTGTAGGGGCGAGCAAGTGTAGGGGCGAGCGAGTGTGGGGGCGAGCGAGTGTAGGGGTGAGTGTAGGGGTGAGTGTATGGGTGAGTGAGTGTAGGGGTGAGTGTAGGGGTGAGTGAGTGTAGGGGTGAGTGAGTGTAGGGGTGAGTGAGTGTAGGGGTGAGTCTAGGGGTGAGTGTAGGGGTGAGCAGCTCACGTTGGTGGTGGTATAGGAGGCTACGTGTCTCTGCTCCTCCTCCAGCTCCATGGTGAGCCGTTTAAACTGAGCCTCCTGCTCCTTGACGGAGGCCAGGAGGCTCGACTCGGTGCTCTGCTCGCGGTCAAAGTCTCCCTCCTCCAGCATGGCGGCAGCCCCCACCCCCCTGCTGCCGGGCCACGGAGAGAGACACAGAGAGAGAGACCCACAGACTCACCACACAGAGAGTACCATAGACTCACCACACAGAGACCCATAGACTCACCACACAGAGACCCATAGACTCACCACACAGAGACCCACAGAGACCCACAGACTCACTACACAGAGAGTACCATAGAGACCCACAGACTCACCACACAGAGTACCATAGAGACCCATAGACTCACCACACAGAGAGTACCATAGACTCACCACAGAGAGAGTACCATAGACTCACCACAGAGAGTACCATAGACTCACCACACAGAGAGTACCATAGAGACCCATACACTCACCACACAGAGACCCATAGACTCACCACAGAGAGTACCATAGAGACCCATAGACTCACCACAGAGAGTACCAGAGACCCATAGCCTCACCACAGAGACCCATAGACTCACCACAGAGAGTACCATAGAGACCCATAGACTCACCACACAGAGACCCACAGAGACCCACAGACTCACTACAAAGAGACCCAAAGATTCACCACACAGAGACCCATAGACTCACCACACAGATACCCATAGACTCAGCACACAGAGACCCACAGACTCAGCACACAGACCCATACACTCACCACACAGACCCATAGACTCACCACACAGAGACCCACAGACTCACCACACAGAGACCCATAGAGACCCATAGACACACCACAGAGAGTACCATAGACTCACCACACAGACCCATAGACTCACCACACAGACCCATAGACTCACCACACAGAGACCCACAGAGACCCACAGACTCACTACACAGAGACCCATAGACTCACTACACAGAGAGCACCATAGAGACCCATAGACTCACCACAGAGAGTACCATAGAGACCCATAGACTCACCACAGAGACCCATAGACTCACTACACAGAGACCCATAGACTCACCACACAGAGACCCACAGACTCAGCACACAGAGACCCATAGACTCACCACGGAGACCCACAGACTCACTACACAGAGACCCATAGACTCACCACACAGAGAGTACCATAGAGACCCATAGACTCACCACAGAGAGTACCATAGAGACCCATAGACTCACCACAGAGAGTACCATCGGTTCACCACACAGAGACCCATAGACTCACCACACAGAGACCCATAGACTCACCACACAGAGACCCACAGACTCAGCACACAGAGACCCATAGACTCACCACACAGACCCATAGACTCACCACACAGACCCATAGACTCACCACACAGACCATAGACTCACCACACAGAGACCCACAGACTCACCACACAGAGACCCATAGAGACCCATAGACTCACCACAGAGAGTACCATAGACTCACCACACAGACCCACAGACTCACCACACAGAGACCCACAGACTCAGCACACAGAGACCCACAGACTCACCACACAGAGACCCACAGACTCACCACACAGAGACCCACAGACTCACCACACAGAGACCCATAGACTCACCACAGAGAGTACCATAGACTCACCACACAGACCCACAGACTCACCACACAGAGACCCACAGACTCAGCACACAGAGACCCACAGACTCACCACACAGAGACCCACAGACTCACCACACAGAGACCCACAGACTCACCACACAGAGACCCATAGACTCACCACAGAGAGTACCATAGACTCAGCACACAGAGACCCATAGACTCAGCACACAGAGACCCATAGACTCACCACACAGAGACCCATAGACTCACCACACAGAGACCCATAGACTCACCACACAGAGAGCCATAGACTCACCACCCAGAGACCTATAGACTCACCACACAGAGACCCATAGACTCACCACACAGAGACCCATAGACTCACCACACAGAGACCCATAGACTCACCCCACAGAGACCCACAGACTCACCACACAGAGACCCATAGACTCACCACAGAGACCCACAGACTCACCACACAGAGACCCATCGACTCACACAAGGACCTCCTCTGCTGACACACAGATAAAGCTCCCCCGTGTAGCATTAACAGACTGTAGGGGCAAGTGCTGTTAGCAAGTAGCACTTATGAACGGCACACGAGGGGGTGGGTGGCCAGCACCACGCCAGGCCGCCTTTGTCTCCCCAGTGACGATGTTTACTACACACCGCTACACCAGGTACTCATTTGAGGCCGAGTCGACCTGGGGGGGGCCCAGAACCGGTTCAGAAAATCGTCACCGGCGGTGTTGGCCGTGAGCGGGAATCGAACCCGGGTGGCCAGGTTCGTAGTGCAGCGTAGCGCTAACCACTGAACCACCGCTCCACACACTCACGGACACACATAGTTACCTTATCACTCACACACCCATGCAACACCCTTATATAGTCACAGAGACCAACAATACCTCCTGACAGCCTCACACCAGGCTGTCAAGGCAAGTGCTGCGCATTGCGAGCAGCAGCAGCAGCTATGAAGGCCGGTACAGCATGGCACACGAGGGGGTGGGTGGCCAGACACACACACACACAGACACACAGATAGACACACACACACAGATAGACACACAGACAGACACACACACAGACACACACACACACAGACACACAGACAGACACACACACAGACACACACACAGACACACACACAGACACACACAGACACAGACAGACACACAGATAGACACACAGATAGACACACACACAGATAGACACACACACAGACACACACACAGACACACACACAGACAGACACACAGACAGACACACACACACAGACACACACACACAGACACACAGACACACACAAAGACAGATCCCCCATGTAGCCTGTAACAGACTGTAGGGGCAAGTGCTGTTAGCGAGGAGCAGCACCTCTGAAGGCCGGCACGGCACACGAGGGGGTGGGTGGCCAGCACCACGCCCGGCCGCCTTTGTCTCCCCAGTGCTAGCGATGTTTACTACACCGCTACACCAGCTACTCATTTGCGGCTGAGTCGACCCAGGGGAGGCCGAGAACCGGTTCAGAGAATCGTCACCGACGGTGTTGGCCATGAGCGAGAATCCAACTCGGGTGGCCGGGTTCGTAGCGCTAACCACTACACCCACTGCTCCCACACACTCAGACACACCAACACACACTCACTCACACATACACACAGGCCATGTCACACTCACCCACACCCCATCTCACCCAGCCACACACCAACACACACACTCACACTCACACACATCCACACACACACCAACTCACTCACTCACACACCCACACACACACCCACTGCTCCCACACACTTAGACACACACACCCACTCACTCACACACCAACACACACATACAGGCCATGTCACACTCACCCACACCCCATCTCACCCAACCACACACTTACACACTCACTCACACACCCACACACACACCCACTCACTCACACACACAAATCCACAGGCCCTGTCACACTCACCCACACACCCACTCACCCACACACCCACTCACTCACACACCCACACACACACACCCACTCACCCCGACACCCACCCACCGACACACCCACCCACACACCGACACTCCCACCCACACCCACACACCGACACACCCACCCACACACACCGACACACCCACCCACACACACCGACACTCCCACCCACCCACACACACCGACACACCCACCCACACCCACACACCGACACACCCACCCACACACACCGACACTCCCACCCACCCACACCCACACACCGACACACCCACCCACACCCACACACCGACAGACCCACCCACACACACCGACACACCCACCCACACACACCGACACACCCACCCACACACACCGACACACCCACACACCGACACACCCACCCACACCCCGACACTCCCACCCACACGCCCAGTTCCGCTCCGTGTAACCTGCTGCAAGATAGCAGCAGCAGCAGCAGCGACTTTGAGCAAAGGTTGTGTGGAGAGGCGGCGTGGTGGTGGTGCGTGAGGTGGGGGGGAGGGGTGAGGTGGGGGGGGGAGGTGGGGGGGGGAGGTGGGGGGAGGGGCTGGGCACCTGTTTACTGTACAGGGAGGGAGAAGTTGGCAAACAGAACCCTGAACCCGATGATGATAAACCACTACCACCACAACTACCACCACCACGACCATAACCACCACCACGACCACAACAACCACCACGACCACAACAACCACCACGACCACAACAACCACCACCACCACAACCACCACCACCACAACCACCACCACCACCACAACCACCACAACCACAACCACCACAACCACCACAACCACAACCACCACCACGTAACCACCCAAAGCGGTGGCAGTGATGGCGGTGATGGTGGCAGTGCCAGCGGTGACACTGGCGATGATGGCGGTGGTGACGGTGACAGTGGCGGTGATGGCAGTGGCGGTGATGGTGACAGTGGTGGTGGTAGTGGTGACAGTGATGGTGACAGTGGTAGTGGTGACAGTGGTAGTGGTGGTGGTGACTGTGATGGTGACAGTGGTGGTGGTGACAGTGATGGTGACAGTGGTAGTGGTGGTGGTGACTGTGATGGTGACAGTGATGGTGACAGTGGTGGTGGTGGTGACAGTGATGGTGACAGTGATGGTGACAGTGGTGGTGGTGGTGGTGACTGTGATGGTGACAGTGGTGGTGGTGACAGTGATGGTGACAGTGGTAGTGGTGGTGGTGACTGTGATGGTGACAGTGATGGTGACAGTGGTGGTGGTGGTGACAGTGATGGTGACAGTGATGGTGACAGTGGTGGTGGTGGTGGTGACTGTGATGGTGACAGTGATGGTGACAGTGGTAGTGGTGGTGGTGACTGTGATGGTGACAGTGATGGTGACAGTGGTGGTGGTGGTGGTGACAGTGATGGTGACAGTGATGGTGACAGTGACGATGGTGACAGTGGTGGTGGCGATGGCACCGCTTCCATCCCAATGGTCAGGGCCCCCCCCACGTCACCCACAGCCCCCCCCCACCCACCCACAGCCCCCCCCCACCCACAGCCCCCTCCCACCCACAGCCCCCTCCCACCCACAG